CCCCCGTCGCCACGTCCAGCCTTGAGGCGGCGACCCTTCCCCGGGCGAACCTGTGCGGCAGCGGCAATCGCAGCCACAGCAGCAGAACCGTCGGAGAAGGTGCACTAAGCGGGGGCACAACCTTGAAAGATAGGGAACGGCACAGTACCGCTGGTCTGAGCGATAGAGCGGTGGCGGGCCCCCTATAGCGGACAGGGTGTCAACAAAGTCAGTAAGGGTAAGGTTTGCTGGGTGGACGCTAAGAAAGCGGTCACGGGCAGTGGCAAGACGGTCAGGGAGGCGGGTGGCTAGCAGGTAGAGAGTAGAGGCGAGGGGCGGCTGGTGGGCTAGAAGGTGTGTGGGGGTGCAAGCAGCACGCCAGGTCTCGTCTATGGTGCGCAGGTGAGCGGCCAGGTCGGCGACAGTGGGGAATGACGCAAGGTCAGGAAAGAGCATGGGGAGGATCAGACGACCGACCGAGGCAGCATGCTGGGTGGAATAGTGCTGGACAGCAGCATCTAGGAAAGTTTGGGCAGTGGTGATAGACCTGGAGCGAGGTCGCTTGGACAGGGGGAGGGCATTGCTAATAGCAAGCTGTGCAACAGCGTCACGGGACAGCCAGACAGAGCGAGCAAGGGCAGCGGCTGCAGCGGACTCACGCTCAGCTGACGAGGGGTCAGGAGACAGGGCAGGGGGGGGTCAGGGCAGAGGAGGGTACCATCAAGATGGACAGACAGCGAGTGGCCATCCTGCCGCTGACCAGTGAGATGGCGACGGAGGTCAGCAAGCCACGCATCAAACTCAATCGGCTGGCCCTCATTATCACAGCAAAGCACCGCCGCCATGAGTGACAATAGAGGGCAGTGTAGAGTAGGACAGTGCGGTGCAGTGCTGTGCAGTGCGGTGTAGTGCGGTGCAGTGCGGTATAGTGCGGTGCAGTGCAGTGCGGTACAAAGCGGTGCAGTGCGGTGCAAAGCGATGCAGTACGGTACCGGGGGGGGTTCGGAGGGCGGTGCTGATCGGGAAGAAGGGGCCGAACCCGAGGCAGCGGCGGGCCGGCGACGGGGCAAATGCAGGGGCCGGCCGGCGGGCGGCAAGTAGACACGGCCGCGACGGCGGCCAGGGACAGCCGCAACGGCGGCTAAGGACAGCCGCGACGACAGCCAGGGGCAACCACGACGGCGGCCAGGGACAGCCGCGACGGCGGCCAGGGACAGCCGCGACGGCGGCGAGGGGAGGCCGCGACGGCAGGAGCGACCGTGAGGCGGATGGAGACGGCAGCGGCGGCGGCTAGGGGCGGCCACGACGGCGAGGGGCGGCCGGGACAACTAGGGGCGGCCGAGGGACGGCAGGAAGCGGCCGCGACGGCGGCTAGAAGCAGCCGCGACGGCTAGGGGCGGGCTCAAACGGCCAAGGGGCCTGCGAGGAGCGGGCGCGAAACGGCCAGGGCGCCGGCTAGGAGGGGCTCAACGGCCAGGGGGCCGGCTAGGGACGGGCGCGAACGGCCAGGGGGCCGGCTAGGGGCGAGCGTGACGGTCAGGGGGGGCGGCTAGGAGCGATCGCGACGGCTAGGGGCGAGCGCGATGGTCAGGGGCCGGCTAGGAGCGATCGCGACGGGCAGGGGGCCGGCTAGGAGCGGGTGCGACGACCAGGGGGCCAGCTAGAGACGGGTGCGTCGGCTAGGGGGCCGGCAAACGGCGAGCGCGACAGCCAGGGGGCCAGCTAGGGGCGGGCGCGATGGTCAGGGGGCCGGCTAGGAGCGATCGCGACGGTCAGTGGGCCGGCTAGGAGCGGGCGCGACGGCCAGGGGGGCGGCTAGGGACGAGCACAACGGCCAGGGGCCGGCTAGGGACAGGCGCGAACGACCAAGGGGACGGCTAGGGACGAGCGCGAACGGCCAAGGGGCCGGGTAGGGACAGGCGCGAACGGCCAGGGGGCCGGCTAGGGACAAGCGCGATGGCCAGGGGGCCGGCAAGGAACGTAGGGGCGGAAGCGTGAGCGGGCTAGGGGGGGATCTCTTCAACTGTATTCTACAACTCCTTACTTTCCTACTTTCTATCTATTGCTGTATGCTTGTTCTTTTAATCAATCACTTGTTCTCACATACTAGTACAAGGGTTCAACTACTCAACTTCCGCTGCACTACTCAAGTCTCCTTCTTACAACTGGGACATAGTCTCTGGAAAGATCCTAAGGGCATTTCTCAGCCCAACATGGTATGAGAGCTGGTCAGAGACCAAACTCCCAGCAACAACGTCTATCTACAGTCAACACTTCAACAAGCTTCATTGATCACAAGTCATGGACAACAAGGGCAAGAAGACCTCTACGGGCTCACCCAGTGCCCAAGACACCCAACCCGGCAACTCTGGATTACACACTTCAGGACTGCAATCCGAGACCGGCGCTGCTCAAGAAACAACAGGAAGAGCACCAGAAATGGTGACTCCATCACCCTCCTCAAGCGTCGACCCGAACCTTATGGAAAGGGTCTTCAGCTTCATGTCACACTTCGACCAGCAGCAGCAGACAAGGATACCTGCTCATTCAACACAGAGCAAGGGAGGAAACATGGGATTAGCGCCGATGAACCTCGACAACTCATTGTTCGGGCGACACAATCAAGCGCCTACCTTTGCGCCTTATCACTCTTCACCGGGGACGTTCGAGTTCATGCCGCCCCGTGCTTAACCAACAGCAGCTGCATCACAACAGACACCAAACGAGGTACTGAGTCTCCAGGCGCAGTTTTCACACGTCATCAAACTGCAGTCATCATCACCGTTCAACGGACAAAGAAACTGGTGAAAGCAAAGTTTGATTACTGCATGCTACTGACCGGGCAGACAAACGTCACCGAATCCGGACACGGCAGCACTCCAGAAACGAAGGGGAGTGTTGGAAATATCTCGAGGACTTAATCGTTTCTGAAGTGTAAACACCACACTCGAGGAAGATCGTAACGGGTACGCGAGTCAACGGAGGTTACACGAGGGGATGGACAAAGAACACGAAAGGACTCAAAGGGTCGCAACCGGAGGTTGTGATTGACCATTACAACTGCAAGAATGGTAACCGAAGCGACAATCGAGTCGCTTTGCGACTCGATAACCGCTCTTCAACTGTATTCTACAACTCCTTACTTTCCTACTTTCTATATATTGCTGTATGCTTGTTCTTTTAATCAATCACTTGTTCTCACATACTAGTACAAGGGTTCAACTACTCAACTTCCGCTGCACTACTCAAGTCTCCTTCTTACAACTGGCACTTAGTCCCTGGAAAGATCCTAAGGGCATTTCTCAGCCTAACACAAGGATATATAGACTAGGGCAGGGTCCTAAATAGGAGACTTTTTTTGTCTGACTGTCTGATTTTGAGACTGGTTTTTAGGGGTTTCTCTGATTTCTCTGAATTTCTCAGACTAGGTGTACCGGTTTCTCTTATTTTTAGACAAGTGAATCGAGTTTCTCTGAAACAGAGACATACATGTGTATCGGCTCCACACACACCCCTCACACCCCAAAGATTTCGGCTAAGTCCCCCAGACCAGAGACGTTCCTTCCCACACACCCCTTGCATACAAAAAAATCGGCTAAGTTCCCCACACCAGACACATTCCTCCCCACCCACACCCACACCCCTCGCACCCCAAAAAAATCGGCCAAGTTCCCCTCACCAGAGACATTCCTCCCCACCCACACCCACACCCCTCGCACCCCAAAAAAATCGGCTAAGTCCACCCCCCCCCCACATCAGAGACATTCCTCCCCATACCACTTGGGGGGGGGGGCAAACCTTGAAACGGCAGGGCCAAAAGAGAGGGCTGTCTGCACGTGACACGTCACGTGAGTCTCATTCCCCTTAGGACCCGTTCGAAAAGTGTGCGTTCTTAGCGGACGCTCTCGAAACGTGCCAGAAATGAACTCCCGCCAAAAACGACAAATCATGGTTGACGAAAAGTAAATACACGACTTTGTCATATTCGGGCAGATTCGTCAATGCCATGGCAAAAACAGCGAGGCCTCCTAATACAGTAACTCCATTTATTTCGCCAAGATCTTTGGTTTTCGCTGCGCAGAGCATTTGTCGTGTCAAAGGCTGGATACAAGGCCGAGGCAAACATGCTCTCTTTGGTAAAAAAGGTGAACCTCGCGACATCTGCATTGCCCGTAACATTTTTCCGAGCATGTACAGAAGACGTAAAAGGCACGTGTTAGGGCAAAATGAACTAGCTGGACACGCCCTAAGTCTTCGTATGACGGTCAGATGGAAGTTCAAAGCCAACTCTGATTTTCAGACGTTGGAAAATCCTAGCTGAGTCGCTGGTTTGGACGCTTAGCGGTTTTGCTCGTTTGTAACCCGCATCCGCTAATTAGTGAAAGTGCTGCAAGTCTCATCATCTCATGCAAACAGACTATGCAAATACGTTTCTCTGAATTTTCAGACATTCGTTCTAGAATTCTCTGAAAAATCAGACAACTTTTTCCTACTTTTCTGATTGAGAAGTGCATTAGACAAAATGCGCAACCCTTGTCTGATTCCTCAGACATGTTTTTTTCCAAAAGAGAACCCTGGATTAGGGTGTTGTACCCTCTAAGGCACAATCCAGTATAGTCTACAGTAACAACCTAAGTTACATTTGACAAGAAGTCTGTAGGATGACGTCAGCAAATAGCGCTCGTTATGAGGATAGTCGTTTCAGGTACGCGAACAGTCGGGTCTCTTCAGTGTCGTTTCAGTCTTAGAACTTGTAAGTGTTGACCAGAATTTACTCAAGAACAAGTTAATAACTGAAGTTGTACAAACTAGTTTTATATCTGCTAGAAGTACCAATTCGGTAATGCATCTATTCAAAACTATTTGCGATATGCGCTCTAACCGCTACTGAAAAGAGAGTGACTGTTTGCATGACTGAAACGGCCTGCTGACGTAATCATCCGGACGAGCGCTATTTGCTGACGTCATTCTACGGATTCTAGCTACTGTGTAACTCAACAATATCAATCGGAACTACTTACAGAAATGCTTAAGTACGATTTTATCACAACACTTATAACAAGTACAACACCAACTCATATATTCCACCTGTATGCCCTGCTAGAGTTCATTTCGCTATTCTAACAGTATCACCATGTGAGTCACTTGTGTTTTTTCTCTGATGCATCAGCACTTGCACTGTTAGCCTTTGTGCGACCTTTGTTCCCCTTGCCATGGGCAGCATAGGAGTAGAGCACCATGCCTGAGACAGCCATGGCCATGCCCACCACATTAGCCGGGGTGAGAGAGGAGTCAAATAGCATCCAGCCAAGCACAAGCACCAGCACCGTCTTCATGTTGCCCAGCACCTGCTGGACAGCAATCGGGTTGGCAGGAATGGACAGTGGTGCTCAGGGCCAGTGATTCAAGGGTATTTCACCCTGATTACCCTTGCCAGGGGCCACATTCTGGGGTATACTTTGTAAGGGTTAAAAAGTGTTTTGGGGCCGAATTTGCCCTGGCACCCTTACAGATCAGGGTGAAATCGTCATGCTACCCTAATTCCTAAGGGTGACCCAAAACCAATCTCAGGCCCTGATGCTACGTTGCAGTTGAAAACCGGTGTCACAATGAAAGGTTTTAGATTCGGATGCCAGGCGAGTTCAGTGCATGCAGCATGGTGCACCATCCAGCCATGGTGAAGACAAGCGCCATGCATGCCTTATCAAACAGAGGTCACAGCGCCATGCGTGCCTTATCAAACAGAGGTCACAGCGCCATGCATGCCTTATCAAACAGAGGTCACAGCGCCATGCATGGCTTATCAAACAGAGGACACAGCGCCATGCATGCCTTATCAAACAGAGGTCACAGCGCCATGCATGCCTTATCAAACAGAGGTCACAGCGCCATGCATGGCTTATCAAACAGAGGTCACAGCGCCATGCATGCCTTATCAAACAGAGGTCACAGCGCCATGCATGCCTTATCAAACAGAGGTCACAGCGCCATGCATGGCTTATCAAACAGAGGTCACAGCGCATGCATGCCTTATCAAACAGAGGTCACAGCGCCATGCATGCCTTATCAAACAGAGGTCACAGCGCCATGCATGCCTTATCAAACAGAGGTCACAGCGCCATGCATGCCTTATCAAACAGAGGTCACAGCGCCATGCATGGCTTATCAAACAGAGGTCACAGCGCCATGCATGCCTTATCAAACAGAGGACACAGCGCCATGCATGCCTTATCAAACAGAGGTCACAGCGCCATGCATGCCTTATCAAACAGAGGTCACAGCGCCATGCATGGCTTATCAAACAGAGGTCACAGCGCCATGCATGCCTTATCAAACAGAGGACACAGCGCCATGCATGCCTTATCAAACAGAGGACACAGCGCCATGCATGCCTTATCAAACAGAGGTCACAGCGCCATGCATGCCCTATCAAACAGAGGTTACAGCGCCATGCATGCCTTATCAAACAGAGGTCACAGCGCCATGCAACCCATATCAAACAGAGGACACAGCGCCATGCATGCCTTATCAAACAGAGGTCACAGCGCCATGCATGCCTTATCAAACAGAGGTCACAGCGCCATGCGTGCCTTATCAAACAGAGGTCACAGCGCCATGCATGCCTTATCAAACAGAGGTCACAGCGCCATGCATGCCTTATCAAACAGAGGACACAGCGCCATGCATGCCTTATCAAACAGAGGTCACAGCGCCATGCATGCCTTATCAAACAGAGGTCACAGCGCCATGCATGCCTTATCAAACAGAGGTCACAGCGCCATGCATGCCTTATCAAACAGAGGTCACAGCGCCATGCATGCCTTATCAAACAGAGGACACAGCGCCATGCATGCCTTATCAAACAGAGGTCACAGCGCCATGCATGCCTTATCAAACAGAGGTCACAGCGCCATGCATGCCTTATCAAACAGAGGTCACAGCGCCATGCATGCCTTATCAAACAGAGGTCACAGCGCCATGCATGGCTTATCAAACAGAGGTCACAGCGCCATGCATGGCTTATCAAACAGAGGTCACAGCGCCATGCATGCCTTATCAAACAGAGGACACAGCGCCATGCATGCCTTATCAAACAGAGGTCACAGCGCCATTCATGCCTTATCAAACAGAGGTCACAGCGCCATGCATGCCTTATCAAACAGAGGACACAGCGCCATGCATGCCTTATCAAACAGAGGTCACAGCGCCATGCATGCCTTATCAAACAGAGGTCACAGCGCCATGCATGCCTTATCAAACAGAGGTCACAGCGCCATGCATGCCATATCAAACAGAGGTCACAGCGCCATGCATGCCTTATCAAACAGAGGTCACAGCGCCATGCATGCCTTATCAAACAGAGGTCACAGCGCCATGCATGCCTTATCAAACAGAGGTCACAGCGCCATGCATGCCTTATCAAACAGAGGTCACAGCGCCATGCATGCCTTATCAAACAGAGGTCACAGCGCCATGCATGCCTTATCAAACAGAGGTCACAGCGCCATGCATGGCTTATCAAACAGAGGACACAGCGCCATGCATGCCTTATCAAACAGAGGTCACAGCGCCATGCATGCCTTATCAAACAGAGGTCACAGCGCCATGCATGCCTTATCAAACAGAGGTCACAGCGCCATGCATGCCTTATCAAACAGAGGTCACAGCGCCATGCATGCCTTATCAAACAGAGGTCACAGCGCCATGCATGCCTTATCAAACAGAGGTCACAGCGCCATGCATGCCTTATCAAACAGAGGTCACAGCGCCATGCATGCCTTATCAAACAGAGGTCACAGCGCCATGCATGCCTTATCAAACAGAGGACACAGCGCCATGCATGCCTTATCAAACAGAGGTCACAGCGCCATGCATGCCTTATCAAACAGAGGTCACAGCGCCATGCATGGCTTATCAAACAGAGGTCACAGCGCCATGCATGCCTTATCAAACAGAGGTCACAGCGCCATGCATGCCTTATCAAACAGAGGTCACAGCGCCATGCATGCCTTATCAAACAGAGGTCACAGCGCCATGCATGGCTTATCAAACAGAGGTCACAGCGCCATGCATGCCTTATCAAACAGAGGACACAGCGCCATGCATGCCTTATCAAACAGAGGTCACAGCGCCATGCATGCCTTATCAAACAGAGGTCACAGCGCCATGCATGGCTTATCAAACAGAGGTCACAGCGCCATGCATGCCTTATCAAACAGAGGACACAGCGCCATGCATGCCTTATCAAACAGAGGACACAGCGCCATGCATGCCTTATCAAACAGAGGTCACAGCGCCATGCATGCCCTATCAAACAGAGGTTACAGCGCCATGCATGCCTTATCAAACAGAGGTCACAGCGCCATGCAACCCTTATCAAACAGAGGACACAGCGCCATGCATGCCTATCAAAACAGAGGTCACAGCGCCATGCATGCCTTATCAAACAGAGGTCACAGCGCCATGCGTGCCTTATCAAACAGAGGTCACAGCGCCATGCATGCCTTATCAAACAGAGGTCACAGCGCCATGCATGCCTTATCAAACAGAGGACACAGCGCCATGCATGCCTTATCAAACAGAGGTCACAGCGCCATGCATGCCTTATCAAACAGAGTCACAGCGCCATGCATGCCTTATCAAACAGAGGTCACAGCGCCATGCATGCCTTATCAAACAGAGGTCACAGCGCCATGCATGCCTTATCAAACAGAGGACACAGCGCCATGCATGCCTTATCAAACAGAGGTCACAGCGCCATGCATGCCTTATCAAACAGAGGTCACAGCGCCATGCATGCCTTATCAAACAGAGGTCACAGCGCCATGCATGCCTTATCAAACAGAGTCACAGCGCCATGCATGGCTTATCAAACAGAGGTCACAGCGCCATGCATGGCTTATCAAACAGAGGTCACAGCGCCATGCATGCCTTATCAAACAGAGGACACAGCGCCAATGCATGCCTTATCAAACAGAGGTCACAGCGCCATGCATGCCTTATCAAACAGAGGTCACAGCGCCATGCATGCCTTATCAAACAGAGGACACAGCGCCATGCATGCCTTATCAAACAGAGTCACAGCGCCATGCATGCCTTATCAAACAGAGGTCACAGCGCCATGCATGCCTTATCAAACAGAGGTCACAGCGCCATGCATGCCCATATCAAACAGAGGTCACAGCGCCATGCATGCCTTATCAAACAGAGGTCACAGCGCCATGCATGCCTTATCAAACAGAGGTCACAGCGCCATGCATGCCTTATCAAACAGAGGTCACAGCGCCATGCATGCCTTATCAAACAGAGGTCACAGCGCCATGCATGCCTTATCAAACAGAGGTCACAGCGCCATGCATGCCTTATCAAACAGAGGTCACAGCGCCATGCATGCTTATCAAACAGAGGCACAGCGCCATGCATGCCTTATCAAACAGAGGTCACAGCGCCATGCATGCCTATCAAACAGAGGTCACAGCGCCATGCATGCCTTATCAAACAGAGGTCACAGCGCCATGCATGCCTTATCAAACAGAGGTCACAGCGCCATGCATGCCTTATCAAACAGAGGTCACAGCGCCATGCATGCCTTATCAAACAGAGGTCACCAGCGCCCATGCATGCCTTATCAAACAGAGGTCACAGCGCCATGCATGCCTTATTCAAACAGAGGTCACAGCGCCATGCATGCCTTATCAAACAGAGGACACAGCGCCATGCATGCCTTATCAACAGAGGTCACAGCGCCATGCATGCCTTATCAAACAGAGGTCACAGCGCCATGCATGGCTTAATCAAACAGAGGTCACAGCGCCATGCATGCCTTATCAAACAGAGGTCACAGCGCCATGCCATGCCTTATCAAACAGAGGTCACAGCGCCATGCATGCCTTATCAAACAGAGGTCACAGCGCCATGCATGGCTTATCAAACAGAGGTCACAGCGCCATGCATGCCTTATCAAACAGAGGTCACAGCGCCATGCATGCCTTATCAAACAGAGGTCAAAGCGCCATGCATGCCTTATCAAACAGAGGTCACAGCGCCATGCATGCCTTATCAAACAGAGGACACAGCGCCATGCATGCCTTATCAAACAGAGGACACAGCGCCATGCATGCCTTATCAAACAGAGGTTACAGCGCCATGCATGCCTTATCAAACAGAGGTCACAGCGCCATGCATGCCTTATCAAACAGAGGACACAGCGCCATGCATGCCTTATCAAACAGAGGTCACAGCGCCATGCATGCCTTATCAAACAGAGGACACAGCGCCATGCATGCCTTATCAAACAGAGGTCACAGCGCCATGCATGCCTTATCAAACAGAGGACACAGCGCCATGCATGCCTTATCAAACAGAGGTCAACAGCGCCATGCATGCCTTATCAAAACAGAGGTCACAAGCGCCATGCATGGCTTATCAAACAGAGGTCACAGCGCCATGCATGCCTTATCAAACAGGGCACGCGCCATGCATGCCTTTCAAACAAGCACCCGCCATGCATCCTTATCAAACAGAGGTCACAGCGCCCATGCATGCTTATCAAACAGAGGTCACAGCGCCATGCATGCTTATCAAACAGAGGTCACAGCGCCATGCATGCCTTATCAAACAGAGGTCACAGCGCCATGCATGCCTTATCAAACAGAGGTCACAGCGCCATGCATGCCTTATCAAACAGAGGTCACAGCGCCATGCATGCCTTATCAAACAGAGGTCACAGCGCCATGCATGCTTATCAAACAGAGGTCACAGCGCATGCATGCCTTATCAAAACAGAGGACACAGCGCCATGCATGCCTTATCAAACAGAGGTTACAGCGCCATGCATGCCTTATCAAACAGAGCACACGCCACTCCTATCAAACAGAGGTCACAGCGCCATGCATGCCTTATCAAACAGAGGTCACAGCGCCATGCATGCCTTATCAACAAGAGGTCACAGCGCCATGCATGCCTTATCAAACAGAGGTCACAGCGCCATGCATGCCTTATCAAACAGAGGTCACAGCGCCATGCATGCCTTATCAAACAGAGGACACAGCGCCATGCATGCCTTATCAAAACAGAGGTCACAGCGCCATGCATGCCTTATCAAACAGAGGTCACAGCGCCATGCATGCTTATCAAACAGAGGTCACAGCGCCATGCATGCCTTATCAAACAGAGGTCACAGCGCCATGCATGCCTTATCAAACAGAGGTCACAGCGCATGCATGCCTTATCAAACAGAGGTCACAGCGCCATGCATGCCTTATCAAACAGAGGTCACAGCGCCATGCATGCCTTATCAAAAGAGGTCACAGGCCATGCATGCCTTATCAAACAGAGGTCACAGCGCCATGCATGCCTTATCAAACAGAGGTCACAGCGCCATGCATGCCTTATCAAACAGAGGTCACAAGCGCCATGCATGCCTTATCAAACAGAGGACACAGCGCCATGCATGCCTTATCAAACAGAGGTCACAGCGCCATGCATGCCTTATCAAACAGAGGTCACAGCGCCATGCATGGCCTTATCAAACAGAGGTCACAGCGCCATGCATGCCTTATCAAACAGAGGTCACAGCGCCATGCATGCCTTATCAAACAGAGGTCACAGCGCCATGCATGCCTTATCAAACAGAGGTCACAGCGCCATGCATGCCTTATCAAACAGAGGTCCAGAGGTCACACGCCATGCCCTTATCAAACAGAGACAGCGCCATGCATGCCTTATCAAACAGAGGTCACAGCGCCATGCATGCCTTATCAAACAGAGGTCACAGCGCATGCATGCCTTATCAAACAGAGGTCACAGCGCCATGCATGCCTTTATCAAACAGAGGTCACAGCGCCATGCATGCCTTATCAAACAGAGGTCACAGCGCCATGCATGCCTTATCAAACAGAGGTCACAGCGCCATGCATGCCTTATCAAACAGAGGTCACAGCGCCATGCATGCCTTATCAAACAGAGGTCACAGCGCCATGCATGCCTTATCAAACAGAGGTCACAGCGCCATGCATGCCTTATCAAACAGAGGTCACAGCGCCATGCATGCCTTATCAAACAGAGGTCACAGCGCCATGCATGCCTTATCAAACAGAGGTCACAGCGCCATGCATGCCTTATCAAACAGAGGCACAGCGCCATGCATGCCTTATCAAACAGAGGTCACAGCGCCATGCATGCCTTATCAAACAGAGGTCACAGCGCCATGCATGCCTTATATCAGTGAATCAGAGGTCACAGCGCCATGCATGCCTTATCAAACAGAGGTCACAGGCGGCCATGCATGCACTTATCAAACAGAGGTCACAGCGCCATGCATGCCCTTAATCAAACAGAGGTCACAGCGCCATGCATGCCTTATCAAACAGAGGTCAAACAGCCCGCCATGGCCATGCCTTATCAAACAGAGGTTACAGCGCCATGCATGCCTTATCAAAACAGAGGTCACAGCGCCATGCATGCCTTATCAAACGAGGCACAGAGGTTACACGCCAGCGCCATGCATGCCTTATCAAACAGAGGTCACAGCGCCATGCATGCCTTATCAAACAGAGGATCACAGCGCCATGCATGCCTTATCAAACGACACAGAGGTCCACAGGCGCCCATGGCATGCCTTATCAAACAGAGGTCACAGCGCCATGGCATGCCTTATCAAACAGAGGTCACAGCGCCATGCATGCCTTATCAAACAGAGGTCACAGCGCCATGCATGCCTTATCAAACAGAGGTCACAGCGCCATGCATGCCTTATCAAACAGAGGTCACAGCGCCATGCATGCCTTATCAAACAGAGGTCACAGCGCCATGGCAATGCCTTATCAAACAGAGGTCACAGCGCCATGCATGCCTTAATCAAACAGAGGTCACAGCGCCATGCATGCCTTATCAAACAGAGGTCACAAGCGCCATGCATGCCTTATCAAAACAGAGGCACAGCGCCATGCATGCCTTATCAAAACAGAGGTCACAGCGCCATGCATGCCTATCAAACAGAGGTCACAGCGCCATGCATGCCTTATCAAACAGAGGTCACAGCGCCATGCATGCCTTATCAAACAGAGGTCACAGCGCCATGCCATGCGGGCAGAAAGATAAATCTGGGCTCCAGTGGATTGCCTGGAAGGAGGTAGGAGAGAGCATGCTGATGCAGAGGTACTGGGTGAGGTTGCAGAAGATGGCCAGCACACGCACGACAGCAGGATGCATGCCTGCATGGCGTGGCAACACGCACGGGGGAGAAGCTTGCAGTTATGCTCGTAGCTACTGAGGTGGTGAAGGGAGGCATGGAAGGTGGATGTGGACAAGCGTGGGCACGAGCATGAAGAAGGCGAGGAAGCAAGCAAGCAAGCGCAGATTCCATTCACCAAACCCCAAGCAGCCCCCTTATCCGTGCACTGAGCATGGCATGGCGGGGTTCTTTCCCTGCATTCCGCACAGCAGCCGCCTCACCCATGCAGCAGCCCGCCTCACCCATGCAGCAGCCCGCCTCACCCATGCAGCAGCCTGCCTCACCCATCCAGCAGCCTGCCTCACCCATGCAGCAGCCTGCCTCACCCATGCAGCAGCCTGCCTCACCCATGCAGCAGCCTGCCTCACCCATGCAGCAGCCTGCCTCACCCATGCAGCAGCCTGCCTCACCCATGCAGCAGCCTGCCTCACCCATGCAGCAGCCTGCCTCACCCATGCCAGCCTGCCTCACCCATGCAGCAGCCTGCCTCACCATGCAGCAGCCTGCTCACCCATGCAGCAGCCTGCCTCACCCATGCAGCAGCCTGCCTCACACATGCAGCAGCCTGCCTCACCCATGCAGCAGCCTGCCTCACCCATGCAGCAGCCTGCCTCACCCATGCAGCAGCCTACCTCACCCATGCAGCAGCCTGCCTCACCCATGCAGCAGCCTGCCTCACCCATGCAGCAGCCTGCCTCACCCATGCAGCAGCCTACCTCACCCATGCAGCAGCCTGCCTCACCCATGCAGCAGCCTGCCTCACCCATGCAGCAGCCTGCCTCACCCATGCAGCAGCCTGCCTCACCCATGCAGCAGCCTACCTCACCCATGCAGCAGCCTGCCTCACCCATGCAGCAGCCTGCCTCACCCATGCAGCAGCCTGCCTCACCCATGCAGCAGCCTGCCTCACCCATGCAGCAGCCTGCCTCACCCATGCAGCAGCGCTGACGTGAGTGCGCCACAGGGACTGGCCCGCCAGCAGCAGCTGGTCCGTGGATGGCCCCAGGAGCAGCAGCGAGGCAGCTTGTGTGGGAGCAGTGAGGGAGAGCAGGCTCATGGAGTCGATGGCGTGGCGCGAGTGCAGCATGGCTATGCCCTGCCACACACACGGCCGCCGTGGGGTGAGGCACAGGGGCGGGAGAAGGGATGGGATCCACCAAGAGCAGTGATGCGATGGGAACGGCACCAAGGCTGCAGCTGCGAGAACAGCTCCTTGGGACATATGTGGCTCCCTTATCCGCCTCACCGCAAGGAGCAGGCATGAGCACGTGGTGCCCTCACCACTTGCTGGAGGGCTGTTGCTGCGACGGCGAGGGCGGCAACAGCGAGGCCAGGGGGGCGGATGGAGACATCGGTGACGGTGCACACTGCCACGCCCGCCACCACCAGAGCTATGGCGCCCAGCACCAGAGGCGATAGCGGCGGCCGTGCAGGGCGAACTCAAGCACGCACACCGTGGGCAGGACACTCAGCTTCGCAATCTGCATGGCACGTTGGGCCATGGGTGCATGCCGGTTGCGGGATATAGGGGGCATGGAGATAACGGAATTGGTGTTTGCTGACTCAATGTGCGACTTAACTGGGTGCCTTGAGGTGGAAAAGTGAGAAGGGCAGGTAGAGGAGGCGGATGAGAGGGTGGAACAGGACGTGTGGCGTTGGGGTGCAAGGAGGAGAAGAAAGGTACTTGGTAGAAGCCGACGGTGTTGAGCATGAGGCTGAAGTTCATCCCCACTATGGACGCATTCGCCACAACGCTGAACGCCACCAGCTCCCGCAGCGGCACACAAGGCGAGCCCCTGCGCGCGCCCCCTCCCAGCCACCCCACGATGCCCGTCACCGCGAAGTGCAGCGCTGTCAGCGTCGTGGCTGGGGCGCCACGCGGGCGAGGGCGGAGAGAGTGAGGATGGAGTGGTGTAGAAGTGTGGGGAGTGCTAGTCTGCCACTGTTGGCCCACGTGGTGAAGAGGTGGGGTGGTGGAGAAGAGGTTGGCCAGGGAAAGTGCAGGGGGGCAAGCAGGGGTGGGAGGTGGAGAGCGAGGGGCGAGGGGGCAAGAAAAGGGGCGGCGGAGAAATGGGGATACGAGGAAAGGGAGGGGGCAGGGGCATGGGAGGCGACGGGGTGGAAGCTAGCGGAGAGAATGAGAGTGCAGGAGCAGCGAATACGGGGAGCATGCAGGGCTGACCGAAGTGGAAGGCGTAGCGTGACATGACGACCTTGTTCACCATCACCAGCGCCACCGAGCTCCCCACGTTGCCCGCCCACGCGCCCACCGCTGCCCCCGCGACTGCTGCTGCCTCGCCGCCATGCCGAAACCGGCTCTGAATGTCTGCTGTGCGGCCGCACGATGATCACCCACGGAATGTGGTTTGTTGGGAGATGCACGGGGGTGTGAGTGGATAGGTTTGGAGTAAAGCCTGGCTTGTTGTAAGGTTGTCTGCGGGGAGCGCACGGGGTGCCCTGCGAGAGGGGGGGGGGAGGGGAGAGAGGGATGGGGGCATACGGGAGTGGGGGGGACGGGGGTTGAGGGGGCTGCTTGTAGAGCGCTTACTGCCCGTCCTGCCAGGAGCCCGCTCACACTTACTGCCCTCCCCCCCTCCCCTGACCTCACGCCTCTCCCCTCCCCATCTCCTCCAGCCTCCCCCGCTCTCATGCCCTCACGCCTCTCTACCACCACTGTTTCTACTCCCCTCCCCCTCTCCTGCACTCTCCCTATCCCCCTCTCCAGCACTTTCCCTACCCTTCCTCTCCTGCACCCTCGCTTTCCGCACTCCCCTGCTCTTACCCCTCTCTCCCTTCCCTTCCCTCACCTCACTCCCTCCGTGCACCCGCACCTTCCCAACTCCCCCCCTATCACGCACCTCACAAATCAATACTCTCCCGCCTCCCCCCCTCTCCTGCCATCCCGCCACTCCCCCCTCCCCTGATCTCACGCCTCTCCTCCTCCTCCCTGCACTCACTCTATCCCCCCTCCCCTGCTCTCACCCCTCCTTCCCTTCCCTTCTCTCACCCCTCCTTCCCTTCCCTTCTCTCACCCCTCACTCCCTCCGCGGCTCTCGCGCCTTCCCACCTCCTCCTCTATCACGCACCTCATACCTCAATGCTCTCCCTCCTCTCCCCCTCCCCTGCTCTTACGCCTCTCCCCCGCCTCTGCACTCACGCCTGCTCTCATGCATCACTCCCTCCCTGCTCTCACGCCTTCCCCCCGCCCCTGCTCTCGTGCCTCTCCCCCTGCCCTGCCCTCTCGCCGCTGCCCCTCGCTGCGATCCCTCGTCTTCCCCATCCCGCGGCCGCGCTCTCTTCCCTGCTGCAGCGCCGGCAGCCCTGAGGTCGTCTCCTGACTCACGAGGCACGGATTGCGGCACGCGACGAGGCGGGTGACGCGTGACAGCGTGGGAAAGCGGGAAGCGAGCTACTAGTCGCTAGCGGGGGAAGCGGGATGCGGAAAGGGGGGAATGGCAGAAACGGGAAAGCGGGGGAAAGCGGCGTGCGGGAAGCTAGGGGAAGCGGGTGGCGGGAAGAAGGGGAGAGAGGCGGCGGCGGCTTAGTGAGGGCAAGTGGGATGCGGGACGCAAGGGAAAGCGGGATGCGGGGAGCAAGCGATAGCGGGACGCGGGTGAAAGCGGCTTGCAGGAAGCGAGGGACAGCGAGACGCTGCCGCGCGGAAAGCGGGAAGTGGCGCGCTTTCAAAAGCGGGAAGCGGGGATTTGGGAAGCGGGAAGACAGGGATAGCGCGCCGCAGGAAGCCGCGAGTGGCGTTTTCGTACGAGGCGGGCGAAGGCGGCGGGAAGCTATCGCGGCCCGCAACGGTGAGCGCGTAGCAGCGGGGGATTCGTCACGTGCTCCCTGCCCTTTTTTCCAGGCGCTGATGATTTCGTGCAGGCAACTAGGCAACGCACGTGAGGAACCTCAATTCATATCCGCGTTCACTAACCTAACATTGGTGTCACCTCGATCTCATTATAAGTCGCAGCCAATTCTCTAGCGTGGCTACTCGTGCACATACTTTTTATGAAATATAACTATAGCGCAGAATACTATAAGGGAGCATGACTACCGAATTTCTCTAACAAGTTGACTACTATAGGGCTCATATAGAACAAGTTGACCAGGTTGAACCTCTAGGTTTGGACCAGTCAAGGGCTCGACAGTCCCGAGGGCGACGGGGTCAAATTGGGTTCGAGGCGCCTCAGTAACAGGTTCGGGGCCGACTAGGTCGGCGAGGGTGGTTTGACGCGAGACTTCAGGGCCGAGGCCGCAGACGCGAACTGTTCGCGGTACTCGCTGTGGCGAAACCCAGTAAGGATTCGTGAAATCCTTACATCCTCCCACCTTCTAAATAGTACCCTCCGTATATCAAAGGCCAAGCTATCATTAAAAGTAATCCCCGATGTGACTGTAGGTCTTCAGGTCGAACAGCGATCGAGGGTCAGAAAACATCGAAACGATCTCTTTTAATCTCAGTCGTTGAAGATGTTCGGCTGACCAAACGGGCAAGGGTGAATACTCCAGTGCAGCCCCTCACATATTATGATGTTTTATCATGAATTCCTGATTTTCAGTATGCTTGTTAGGGGTCAATCCTGAAAATTCAGTTTAAGGTCATTTTCCACCCTGTGAATTCAGTTTTAAGTCATAGTGCAACCCTTAAGTTTCAATATAGTGCTCGTGTACCAGCCCTGAGGTGTCAGTATGCTTTCGGGGACAACCCTGATTCATCGAATCTTGCAAATGCGCGTGCCCCACAGGTGCATGCTTTGTACTTTTCCGCCCAAACAAATTTCGGCTAAGTCCTCGATGCTAGAGTCAATCCTCCAACCAGCCCCATGCCACTCTATTTTGGCAAAGTTCTTAATGCTAGAGACAATCCTCGAACGAAACCCACCCCCCACCCCCCCCCCCCCCCATTCTTATTTTTTGGTGAAGTCATCAATGCGTCTCTAGCAACAAAGCAGCCCCACGCTACTCTGTTTCGGCTAAGTCCTTAATGCTAGAGACAATCCTCGAACGAAACCCAACCCCCCGCCCCCCCCCCCCCCCCCCCCCCCGCTACTCTAAATTTTCGGTGAAGTCATCAATCCTAGAGACGATCCTCCACGAACCCCCTCAACCCGAAAATATCAGCGAGCTAGACATTCCTACCCGTTTTAGTGTAGTCTTCCGCACGCACTGTATTCAAACCCCCCTAAGTCTCAACATACGATTCAATCTCGTCGACGATCGAACGACCCAAATTTCTGTTACTTCACTTGAACATATCTTGGCCATCAAATTCGCAATGCCCAAAATTCCCTGGAGCTCCCAAACATCCAAACTCAAACGGGCCGTCAGAACAGCTCAAGGGCAAATGTTTCACGTTCGCCCACATGCCTTCGACTTTCCTCTAAAATACAGACGTGGCATTTTTCAAATGAGGGCGTGTCTCAATGCCGACACAAGTCATGCTAATTCATGTCAAGACTGCGTTGACGGGCAAATTTGACAAGCGAAATCCCTAATGACACGAAAAAAGGCCTGACATCGGTTCACAAAGCAAAAGGCCCTGAACAATCAGACTGCCGGAAAAATTCCCGGCCTGATTTGCTGCGTGCGTAGATTTTCGCCAAATTTTGACCAATAGTAGCTAAGTTAGCGCAAAACATGAAGTGCCGACATCCTGTTAGTATCTTGCTGCTGTGCAATGTAACTTAGTACAACGTTTCCAATGTTTTTGAATTTACCCTGAGGGCACAGTATAAACTGGGGAACCATCTTGAGGATTCAGTATGAATATAGCCAACCAACCGTGAGTGCTACACGGTTTTTTGGAGGCCAGCCCTGATTGTTCAGGATGCCCAAAATCCTATATGAGGCCCTGCTCCAGTGGAAGACTATCAACAGTAAAAATTGTCGAGTGGTCGATTGATGATGGCGCGTGTCGTATGATATCTTGAAATGATAAATTGGCGAATGGTGTGGCCGATGAAATTAGATTCCGTTCATCGAAACGCGACGACGATTGTGTCACATGCGAGAGCACGCGTCCATGTCCTACGAAAAGTCAACGAACCCCATCAACGAAGTGACGAAATTAGGCGCGGAAGTGTAACGGTGACGAATATTGGTCGAAGATGGATGATAGAACTGAAAGAATTTGAAAAGTGGTGCAGGAGACTAAGTATAGAATCTGCAGACACAAGTACTTGAAGTAAAAAGTAATACGAGAAGAAGTAAAAAGTAATACGAGAAGTACCTCCAGTAACAGCCATTATTAACAAGTTGTAACACCAGAGTCAGTGTTACAGCCTTGCGATACTTCAAGACTTAACCAAGGATCTTTTATGGAATGGAAGACTAGTAAGACAGCGGAAGTCTTAGAACTTGTAAAGTGTTGACCATAATTTACTGAAGAACAAGTTAGCAATTGAAGTTGTACAAGCTACTTTCATATCTGCTAGAAGTACCTATTCGGTGATGTACTTGTTCGAGCTATTTTGCGCTATGCGCTCTAAACACTACTGAAAAGAGCGCGACTGTTCGCGTGACTGAAACGGCTTGCTGACGTAATCATCCAGACGAACGCTATTTGCTGACGTCATTCTACGGATGCCAACTACAGTGTAACTCGACAAGATCTATCGGAACTACTTACAGAAATGCTTAAGTATGATTTTACCACAACACTCCCCTTCATTTCTGGAAGTCCGATAGTGTCACTTCTTGATAATTCCGCAGAGCTCGTTGCAGTATTGAAATGTCTAACGTGTCAACTTCTTGGTAAGAAAATTTGCAGCCATTTCATAGGTCGAACAGTAGACCAATCGCATTCTCCCTTTCTAGACTTCATCTTTGACGAAAAAGAACCGTAGCGAAATATGTTTCGTCCTGTTGGAGAAACCCGGTTGATGCGCAATCCTGATTGCACTTTGATTGTCGCACTACAGGGTGAACTGTGTACTTGTCGTCAATTTCACCTCCTCCAGTAGTTCTTGTAGATAGAGACCTTCGCGAATAGTTGTGCAGGCAGCTATAAACTCGGCTTCAGCGGATGAAAGAGCTACTAGTTCTTGTTTTGTAGAATTCCAGGAGATAGTCCCAATAGGCTCGAGACGATAGATGAATCCGGTGCGAGATCGACGATTAGTAGCATCTGCTGCATGATCAGCATCGACGTACACGTTAAGATATAAGGTTTTCGTTGTAGTAACTTGGTAGGTAAGTCCGACTTCAGGTGTCGAGATGAAATACTGCAGAGCGCGAAGAATATCTAGCCGATTCTCCCCTCAGGTCGACGCAGAAATTGCTCGAGCTAGCTAGCGGCATAGGCGAGATCTGGACGACACGTTACGGCTGCGAATAGAAGACAACCCAGTTGCTGCTGGGCGTTATCGAGTGGAGTAGTATCCGGTTGATGATTAGTCGGTAGAGATCGATAAGGAGTGGTTACTGTCGAAGCTGTGAGATTAAACCGTGCGGCTAGCGTAGCTGCATACTTTGAAGCCGTAAGATGAATAGCAGTTGCTGTTCGATGGATGTTCAGTCTGAGAAACTGTGTGACTGTAGAAGTGATAGTAATCTGTAAATTGTGTTGAAGTTTATATTAGAAGATAGTAGCGAGAGAATCCGTAGTATTGATATAAAGTAAGTCGTTGACGTAGGCGACGAGTAAAATGTAGTCCGGTACCGTCGGTAAGCAGGTACATTCCTTGTTCGTGTGGAAGCTGACGAAATCCGGCAGTCAACAGTTGACGGTGTAGATACTGCTACCATAGTCATGGTGCCTGTTTGATGCCGTAGAGAGATTTTCTGAGACGGCACACGCTAGGAGGATTAGTTTTGTATGAATGTGGAAACTCGACCAGAATTATTGCGTCGACAGGCGCATATAGAAAGGCGTTGGCGACGTCGATTTGACAAAGTCTGAAATTCCAGTAGGCCGCGATGCAGAGAAAAATTCTGACACTAGTGTGTCGGCCGACGGGAGCAAAGGTAAGTTTGTAGTCAAGCCCAAAGGTTTGCTCGAAGCCGCGGACGACCCATCGCGCCTTGAACCTTTCGAAGGAGCCATCAGCATTCGTCTTAACACGGAAGTCCCATTTTCCGGTAAGAACCTTACTCCCATTTGCTTCCTTGAGTGGGATAAGATCCCAGGTGCCACGTTTTTCCAGAGCTGCTAGCTCTTGGTCCATGGCTTTGCGCCATTTCTCCCTGTGAGGACTTGTCAAGGCTTGGCGAACTGTGTTCGACTCCAGAATTTTACTGATGTTTGACTGTACTACGACTGCAAGTCCCAAAACTTGTAAACCAGTCTCTGTAAAACGCGGACGGTCTGAGTTGACACCGGAAAAGTTGTGTTCTGATCCTTGTTCCCCCCCAACTTCTTCAGGTGTTACTCGGATAGCTGCTTCGGAGACAACGGGCATCGGTTGCTGTTGGCGGTCACGTTCGTAATCGAGTTCAACATTGCGAACCTCTTCAGGGTCGGCGTCAACGAGTGGAATAAATTCTGCAGTTCCAGCTGACGTGGTTGGTACGGGAACGTCTGTGACAGCTTCGGAAGATTCATCAACGAACTCGTCCTGTATATCTGCTTCGGCTTCGTCGGTGGCAAAAGCACGCGAGCCCTCGAACAGCCTGGCAGAATTGGCAGCTGTTGCCTGGTGAGCACGAAAGACGGGTAAGGTGAGACGTGCATAGAAAAGACAATCACGTGCTGCCTGCGATTTGACTCGTGCGAAGATCCATGATTTTCCACATGTAAAACTGCTTTTTGATACCAAGATGTATCCCCCACTTAGCGCATTCATAAAATTTCCCCAGTGCAGCTGTCGGAGGTCGATATTAGACGATGCACCCAAAAAATCTTAAAAGTTTTGTGTTGCCAACTGTTTTTGTCCACTGCATGTGTGATGAAGAAAATTCCGGAAGAGAAGTTGTCGACAGCAAGTTGTGCAGAAGAACTGCATAATCCAAAGTGTAAGTCCAAAAATGGGGTGGCAATGCTGCCTTAGTCAACAGGACTCGCATCTTCTCTTGTAAAGTCCTGTTCATCCTCTCTGCTACCCCCATCTGTTGGTGTTGATGTGGTAGGGACAACCTGCGCTTGATGCCGAGGGTTTGCAGGTAATCCGTGAAAGTTGTGCTCGTATACTCCCCTGCGCCGTCACTCTGAAACTCTTGCAGATTTTCTTTCGATTCTCTTTCAGCTACCGCGAGCCATGTCACGAAGATTGAGTGAGCCATATGGCGAGCTGGTATGTTGACGCTCCAAACGCAGCGAGTAGAAGCTTCGATAAACGAAATCATATAAAGCTCCCCCTTAGGTCCTGCTTCCTGTAAGTTTAGGATGTCGCTGTAAGCTTTCTGCATAAGGGTGTATCGAGTTGAACCCGGACAGTAACTTGGAAAGGGTTTGTGATGAAGATTAGCGGTCGCGCATGTTGTGCAAACTGCTGGTCGGGAAGACGGCTTCATCTCCGTTCCATGCGGTAAGAGTAAACAGTTTTTATCAAGAATAGAAGCTCGAATAGTATGGTTAAGTATTCCCTGTGAAGGATGTCCTAACCTTTGATGCCAAATATCTTATGTTGCCTTGTGTCCCGTTGATCGCAGATAAAAATCGGCGTTAATATAAAATGAAGAAATGATGAAAGGAGAAAACGCTGGTGATTCGTCGAGTTGGCCGGGAACGAAGCGGTTAAGAGGTAACTTTGCCGTTGTGATTTCCACGTCGAGAACTTCTTCCGGTTGAAGAACTAATTCCCCTTCCTCATTTTCTGTTTCTTGTGAATCTGTTGCAGGTTGACCGACGAGAATCCCTGTTTCTTCTTCACTGCTACTCTGCTGCTCTGCTTCATCTGCTTCACTGCTGCTGCTGGGTCCCCAAGGTGCTGTAGGTTTGTTATCAAGTTGTTGTAAAGTTTCGTAATAATTTCTCCATGCTGATGTATCTTCCTCGGCTGTGTTTGTTGGCCAGGAATCAAGAGCCGTTATAACCGCTGCTGCTGTACGAGATCATGTGGGAACTGCAGTTGCACGGAAGTCGATGTCAACGTTCTGGAAGTCAGTTTCTTCATGATGTTGCCAAGGTCCTAGAGATAACACTATCTCCGAAGATCCAGTAGTTCGTTGCGACTCAAATTAAAGAACAGAGACCCCATACTGAGTGGCGGCTCTCCAGATGTAAGCGTTTGAATCATTATGATAAAGTTCTTGGTCCATTGTCTCACAGTTGCCTTGTGTCCAGATCTTATGTCGCAGGAGCTGAGCCATTGAAAGAAGATTAAAGCAAAGTCCCTCGATGATAAGGACATTCGTAACGTATAACGAAAAACTTGTATCCACGGAATCCAACATGACGTTGCCGATTGACTTTGCCAGTATTGTTTGTCCATTTGCGACTGTGACAGGTACTGGACGACGGAGCAGACGCTGATGAGTAATGAAGAGCCTCTCGGCAAAGCACATGTGTTGTCCACAGCAACTATCAAGATACCAAGTGTTTGGTCCTGCAATAACCCGAGCAAGGTTAGCATATACTTGAGGTAAAACCATGTTTTCAGGTTGGTCGATGGAATTTTCGTCGTCGTCATCATCGAAATCTGATTCTGTTGCATGAACTGTTGCAACTCAGCTAAAAACTTGTTTTCCCGATGTGGCAGGAGTTTTTGTCGGTGGGTTCTGCTTCACGGGTTGCTTGAACTGCTGCGACTGCTGCTGCACTCCTCTTTTCCTATCAGCTGGAAGCTTGTCGCAAAATTTCATACTGTGTCCATCCTTTTTGCAGTAGTGGCAGAAGTATTTGTTGACGCGTTTCGTAGGCGTTGAATAAAATCTGATATTAACTGCTCCCTTCTTGTTACGTGCTGTCTGCAGGTCAAGATCTTGCTGCTCTGCTTGAAGGATGGAGCAGATTTCTGCTTCCGAAAGATTTGGTTTAAGACGAAGAAGGGATCAACACTGCCGCCATTCTGGTCCAAGACCAGCAAGAAGGACTGTTATAAATTTGTCCTTTGGTAAGTATCCGCCGCACTTTTCCAATTGGTCATGAAGTGTTCGAGCCCTGTTGACATAATCCGAAACGTTTTCGTTGCCCTGCATCTGTACAGTTGTCAGTTGTGAGAGAATTTTACTCACCGAAATTGCGTCCTGTGCCATGTATAATCCTCAAATGCTTCCACGCAGATTCTGCTGGAGTCAAACTGGTGTGAAAAGAGCATATACCAATCTGCTCTTTCAGCGACAGATTGCGGATAAGGACGGTGTAAGTGCAGAGTGAAGAATGAAGAAAACTCTGTTGTTCCATCTGTGTTCTCGTAACAGGATATGAGTAATCGCCACTGAAGAACGGCCACAATCCAGCGGATTTCGTAAGAAGCTCGAACTCAAAACTCCAGGCGTAGAAGTCAGCGCTATGAAAAGGTACAGTTGTCTTTATCTGTGTTTTGCTTAAAAGGTTTGGTGCTTGAAAGACACGACCAGCAAGAGAAGTCTGCTGCTGCTGCTGCTGCAGAAACTGCTGTTGCGGTTGCTGTTGTTGCTGTTGTTGCTGAAACAGTTGTTGTGCTTGATGTTGTTGTTGAAGAAATTGAAATTGTTGATATTGAGCAGGTGTAAACGCAAACGAAGAACTGGAACTTGGAGCGGCTGCAGCTCTTGCATAGCTGGAACCATCCATACTCATTCTACTAAAAGCTGGTGATATTGATGCTGCTGTTTGTTGCTGTTGTGTTGCAGGTGCAGAGGACGAAATCCCCGGTGGATGCACAGTAGGCAAACCTTGCTGCTGTTGCGGCATCCCAATTGAAGAATAAACACGTGGAAAGTTTCCAGCTGCAGAGTTTCCTGCTTGACCAGTTTTGACTGTAGGATTTGTAACACAAGTAGGTCCAGTTGTTGAGGAACCAGATGATGGGGCTGACGATGGTCCAGTCATTTGTAAAATTGACGATAGTCGAATTGACAAGAGTCTTGATTCCAGACAGCTCTCATACCATGAAAGAATTTGAAAAGTGGTGCAGGAGACTAAGTATACAATACGCAGACACAAGTACTTGAATTAAAAAGTAATATTGGAAGTACCTCCAGTAACAGCCAGTATTAACAAGTTGTAACACCAGAGTCAGTGTTACAGCCTTGCGATACTTCAAGACTTAACCAAGGATCTTTTCTGGAATGGTAGACTAGTAAGACAGCGGAAGTCTTAGAAATTGTAAAGTGTTGACCATAATTTACTGGGAGAACAAGTTAACAATTGAAGTTGTACAAGCTACTTTTATATCTGCTAGAAGTACCTGTTCGGTAATGTACTTGTTCGAGCTATTTGCGCTATGCGCTCTAACCGCTACTGAAAAGAGAGCAACTGTTTGCGTGACTGAAACGGCCTGCTGACGTAATCATCCAGACGAGCGCTATTTGCTGACGTCATTCTACGGATGCTAACTACAGTGTAACTTGACAAGAACTGTCGGAACTACTTACAGAAATGCTGAAGTACGATTTTACCACAACAAGAACATGCCGGAAGGGTTAGACGAAATCTGCAGCGTAGCTGCCCTTCTCCCCCCCTCCAACAGCTCCCAACTGATCGAGGTAAAAGACCAAGAAACCCAATGCTCCAAGGTAGTCCAAAGTAGATCACCCTGTTGCTGAAAAGCCCGGAACTCAGCTTCGAAGATGCCGCTGCAAAACTCCAACCTATACTGACAAATGTAACTTATGTAGTTACTGTAGACTATACTAGATTGTGCCTTAGAGGGTACAACCCCTAGTCTATATACCCCTGAATCCTTCTATTCTATTCAACTACTCATTCTGATATGGTATCATAGTAGGTTCGGCCCCCCACCTAGCCCGCCCACGCTTCCGCCCTAGGCCCTAGCCGGCGTCACGCCCGCCCTAGCCGTCACGCCCGCCCCTAGCCATCGCGCCCGTCCCTAGCTGCCATCTCGCCCGTTCCCAGCCGCCGTCGCGGCTGTTCCTAGACGCTGTCGCGACCGTTCCTAACCGTCGCGGCTGTCCCTAGTCGTCTCGCGGCCGTCCCTAGCAGCCGTCGCGGCCGTCCCTAGCTGCCGTCTCACGGCCGTTCCTAGCCGTCGCGAACGTTCCTAGCCGCTGTCGTGGTCGTTCCTTGCCGTCACGATTGTTCCTAGCCGCCGTCGCGGCCGTTCCTAGCCGCCGTCACGGTCTTTCCTAGCCGTCGCGACCATTCCTAGCCGCCGTCGCGGCCATTCCTAGCCATCGAGAACGCTCCTAGCTGCCGTCGCGGTCGTTCCTAGCCATTCTCGCCGGCCGTTCCTAGCCGTCGCGGTCGTCCTTAGCCACCATCACGGCCGTTCCTCGTCGTTGCGGCCGTTCCTAGCAGCCGTCGCGATCGTCCTCCCGGGCCCCCTGCGCCGTTGCGTACGTCCCTAGCCGGCCCCGTGTGCCGTCGCGCCCGTCCTAGCCGGCCCTGTTCACCGTCGCGCCCGCTCCTAGCCGGCCCCCCTTCGTGCCCGCTCCTTACCGGCCCTCGTGCCCGCCCCTCGTCGGCCCCGTGCCCGCCCCTTGCCGGCCCCTTGCGTCCGCCGTCCGCCGGCCCCTCGCGTCCGCTGCCGCCAGCCGGCCCCTAGCGTCCGCCGTCGTCGCCGGCCCCTCGCGTCCGCTGTCCGCCGGCCGGCCCCTAGCGTCTGCCGTCGTCGCTGGCCCCTCGCGTCCGCCGTCCGCCGGCCGGCCCTAGCGTCCGCCGTCGTCGCCGGCCCCGCATTCGCTTCGCCGCCGGCCCGCCGCCGACTCGTGCCCGGCCCGTTTTTCCCGACCAGCACTGCCCTACAACCCCCTTGGTACCGCACTGCACTGCTTTGCACCGCACTGTACCACTCTGCACCGCTTTGCACCGCAATGCACCGCTTTGCACCACTCTGCACCGCACTGCACCGCGCTACACTGCACTGCACTGCACCGCACTGCATCGCGCTGTACCGCACTGCACTGCACTGCATCACACTGCACCGCACGGTGCCGCACTGCACCGCATTGCACCGCTCTACACCGCACGGAGCTGGGTTACCTGGTGGTTGCGCGGACGAGGGGACCCTGACAGGTGCAGCCGAGCAGCCGTCTCAGCAGCCGCAGGTGTTGCAGCCGGACAAGCGCCAGTCGCTGCAGCAGTCCTCGCACCAGCCGCAGCCACCGCAGCAGCCGCAGCAACCGAGGCGGGCGAGTGGTCTCCCGCCCGGATGGCCTGGCGCTGGTGGTAGTGCTGGACGTGGTGGTCGTGCGCGTGGTGGGCTGCCCGATGGTGGTTCGGGTGACGCGCGCTGTCAGTACTAGCTCCAGACCGGCCCTCGCCGTGGCTTTGTTTGCGGTAAGATCGGTCACACCTCCGTCCGCTGTTTTCGTCGCCTGGACGACCTGTTTTGTCAGCGCTTCAGCCCGTCGCCCGAGCTCCGAGACTGGCACAGCTTGCTTCATCATAGCGTCCCGATTTTTGATCTGGACATGGATGAGATTGTTGCTGCTCTGCATGTGATGTATGCTGATAACTCTAGTGTGCTTCCATCTTATTACCCCTTGTTGCCTAGTGTAGGTGTGCCTTCCTTAGACTCCCCTGCTGCGTCAGGCTTAGGATCCCCTGCTTTGTTTAGCCTTGGTGCTTCCGTCGCTACTTCGCCTCCGGCCGCCACTGCTGCACTCTCCTTCACCCCCGACTCTGGCGCTTCCCGGGTGTTTCTTCCGCGACTTCACCACGCTGACGCCGCTTCCTGTTTCTGCTGCAGTTTCTCTTGCTGACCCCTCCTCCGGCCCTGTCGTCAACCGCAGTTCCACCACCCTTCCCTGTCCGGCGGTTCCTTCGGGCTCTCTCACAGGTCTGCACATCCCCTCATTCTCCAGGAACCTAGTTGGTGTCGGCTGCCTCCAGGACCTTGGCGTCACCACTATGTTCCCTGGTCACGAGCGGTACGCTGTCCTGTACCGAGGCCGCCACTGGTGCCCCCTTACCATGTTCCCACGGGACCCGGTGTCCGGCCTTTTCACACAAGACACTATGCCTTCCCCGGCTGGGATGCCCCCTCAGGTGGTTGCGTCTACTCAGGTTGCTGCTGCCTGCTCCTGTCAATCACTCACTCACCCGACCCTCCTTTGGCACCACTGCCTAGGTCACCCTGCGCTCCCGTGTCTGCGTCACATATCCCAGCACGGTCTCGTCCTAGGCCTCCCCAGGTCGTTCCCCGAGTTTCCCTCTTCCCCAGCCCCACCTTGCACGCCTTGTGTCGAGGGCCGGCTCCGCCGTGCTCCTCACTCCTCGTTTCCCCCTACTGCCGCACCGCTACAAACTCTGCACATGGACGTCTGGGGCCCCGCCCCCGTCCATGGGCCGCGTCGGAGAGCGCTACTTCCTAGTGCTTGTCGACGACTATACACGCTACACCACTGTGTTCCCCCTGGAGCGGAAAGCCGACGTGCTGACGTTCTCATCCCGTGGCTTGTCTCTGCGCATGTCCACCGCCGTCTCCCTGTCTTGCGACTCCACTCCGACCGTGGTGGCGAGTTTGCCTCTGGTGTCCTTGGTCGTTTCTGTCGTGGCAGAGGGCATCACCCAGACGTTCACCTTGCCGGAATCCCCGCAGCAGAATGGGGTCGCTGAGCGACGCATCGGTTCGAAGCGTCTGACTGGCACTTCTACCACCGAGGTCCCCCGGTTACCCCCCCCTGTTCCTGGTCACCCTTCCCCGGTAGTCCCTGCCCCTCCCCCTCCCCCTCCCCGTCCTGCCCCCTCTGGTGTGTCCCACGTCACCCCCCTTACGTCGGTTGTCCCGGTTGAGGAGTCTGCTGACTTTAATGGTCCTGCGGCGCAGTCCACCGCCGCCTGCCCCTCCTCAGGTGTCTCCTCCTCCGCCGCCTCCGCAGCCGCCGTCCCCACCGCTGTCGCAGCCGTCGTCACCGTCGCCGCCGCCGCCGTCGTCGCAGCAGTTCGTTGACTCTGGGGGTGCTGGAGTTGGGGTGGGTACTAGTCCTGGGACTCCTGTTGTGGCTTGTCCCGGCGGGCCTTGGGTGGTACCGGTGCTCGAGGGGTTCTGAGCTCTGGGGGTGTTTTCCTTCTGGGGGTGCCGGAGTGGAGTGTTCTGGAGGTAGCCGTCCGGCAGATTGCGGTCCCGGTGTCGGTGTCGCACCGCCACAGCAGCAGTCCCCGCCGGTGTCAGCTCTTCGCCTGCTCGGCCTCCCGCCCCCTGACCCCGCGTCTGTGCCTCCTCCTCCTGTCTTCGGCCTTGTGTTCCCTCCTTTGGACTCGTCTCCGGCTCGTTTCCCCCCTCGTTCCCCTCTTGTGTCCCATCCTCTGTCTCCTGACCCGACGCCTCCATCTCATGTCTGGTCTCGCCGTCCCTCCCGTGCTCGACTAGTCTCCCCTGTCTCGTGCTCTCACCCTATGTTGCTTCGTTCCCACGCATCTCGTCCTCCCCTTCTCCCGTCGCCTCCTCTGCCCTCCCTTGTTGTTGCGCCCCCCCTCTGACTACCTGCGTGCTGCTCGTCCTCTTGTTCCTCGGGTCCTTGCCTCTCTCGTTACCGACCCGTCTGTTCCGATTTCGTGTCTTGACGCCCTTGTCGCTGCGGTCGCTGAATTCGCCTCTACCCACCACCTTGACTACGCCACCGCTCTGGTCTCTGACCTTGCCTGTCCTCCGTCTGTCGGGGGTGCTCCTGCCCTTGGAAATGACGTCCTGGAGGACCGTCAGTACGAGCTTGCTTTCCTGTCCGAGGCTGCTCCCCATCTCTGTTCCATGCTTCTAGTCCCTGAGGGTGACCCGGACGCTTTCGACATCCCGACCCTCGCACTTACGCTGAGGCGGTTTCGGGACCCTGAGCTCTCAGTGTATAGCTGCCATGGAGCAGGAGATGGCATCTTGGAGATCCACCGGCACCTACGTCGACGCAATTCCCCCACCTGGGGTGAACGTAGTCGATGGGCGCTGGCTCTTCAAGGTGAAGCGCCCTCCTGGAGAGCCGCCTGTATCCAAGGCGCGCTACATGGCTAGAGGTTTCAGTCAGCGTGAGGGGGTGGACTTCTTTCCGACCTTTGCTCCGACCCCGAAGATGACTATCTTCGGGTGCTGCTACACGTAGCAGCCCTGCGTGACTACGAGCTTCACTCCCTCGACTTCTCCACTGCGTTTCTTCTTGGCTGTCTACACGAGCAGGTCTACCTGCGCCGCCCTCAAGGTTTCACTGGTACCTTCCCTCCTGGGACCTTGTGGCTCCTGCGGCGCCCGTCTACGGCCTGCGACAGGCTCCTCGTGAGTGGCACGACACGCTGTGTGCTACCCTTGCTGACCTGCAGTTATTTCTGTCCTCTGCAGACCCCTCGCTCTTTGTTCGTGCAAGCGAGACTCCGTTTCACATCCTTGTTTATGTAGACCACCTGGTCTTAGAGGGTACAATCCCTAGTCTATATACCCCTGTATCCTTCTATTCTCTTCAACTACTCGTTCTGATATGTAGAACTCCCCAATGCTCCAAAGTTGAAATTCCTCTGTAGGGGAACCGCTCCAAGGGTCTTGAAACTTAGAAGTCACAGCTCCAGTAGACTCCATACGAACTGGAAATTTCTTCACCACTCAAATATTGCTGGCGAGCTGGCCCAAACACAGCTCCAACAGTACTGCTGCCAACTTTTGTGTAAATCCGATAATGCTGCTTGATGGGTGGCGATGGTGCGGCGGGGTCGTGTTTACGCTGTCGGACGAATCAGGTGAATTGATGATGAAGGCGGTAGCGGGTGGTGGTGAGAGAAAGACGATGATGGCGATGACCTGTAACCTATTCTGAACCACTCCTGTAAAAAACCTTGAAAAGAACCCGGGGTCGAATGCTGCCAGATGCATCAGCTACGTTTTCTGTACACGCCGAAATATTCGGGAAGAGACAAAACAGCTGTTGCTCTCCTTCCCCTCCATGCAACCAAACTGTCCGCAAATATCGGTCGATGTCACTCGTACCCTGAAGATAGCGGGCACAACTCCAGCTGTAAAACCGACTCCTTCACCTCAACGAAATTCTCGGAACCGCACTCGTGACTTAACAAACACCGCAGCTGCGCTTCACAGCTACTTGTAAAATACTGACGAGCAGTCCTTTAGCTGCACCCCCATCGGTCCATCACCAGCTGTACGCATAAACTGAACCCTTTAATCTATGGTACTAGTTGTTCACCGCCCGGGCATGGGGTCTTCGGCTGTCGATCATGGCTGGCGAGCATCATACGCCGTCGATCTCCTGACAGGTGTTTCCCAACTTTAAAGTTTGCTAGCTGCTCCGTCGGATCTTGACGCATTCCCCACCCAGTACCCTGACGTTTACCCAGCGCGCCGACGTTCACCCGACGTCACGCTCATCCTGGTACCAAAGTAGGTCCTAGGCTTTCGCCTTGAAGTAGCCCGCGTGATCCAGGTCAACTTCCTCTGCGTAGCCGCACTCCAAAACTTTCAGAAACAGTGACGAACTCCTCCAGATGTAACCCAAAACTCTTTCAAATACTCTTGTACCCCTGCCAGCTCGCCGTGCAGACGTTCACCCATCTCGCGGCTGTTGCAGGTTACCCAAAGCCGCTTCGCTGCTGCTTTACTAACTCCTCTAAAAAGTGCAGTGTCAGAGACGTGGAGGGCATACGACAAAGTCGGATGGACGAAAGAAGTCTCCGCACGACCGCTGGACACCTCCTGCCTCCCGACGTGCCAGTGTGAGACACTCGGAACCTTACACCCGCAAAAGTCGGAAACTCCTTCTGCGGCACAAGGTGAAACCCTCAGCTCCACAGCTGCAGTTCTCTCATGAAATTTTGGGGACACCCCTTAGCACAGTGTAGATTGCAGGTCCACTCCCCTTTAACCATGTGTGAACAACCCATAGTTGACACCGACGACGTGGTGGAATGGTATTCAGGCGACGAAGCTCTGTTAACAGGGGATCCGTAGTTGCCTAACGTTTAACTAAAACCCAACTTCTTCCAGTCGTTTTACTTCGAACTGGTTCCGCTCTTGACGGTTTGACGATTGTGGCGCCATTGTGGAGAAAACTTAACACAAACCCGAGGGTCGTGGCCTCCGTTTCCGTTGATCGTGGGGGTATGACCGCTGCTCCACGAAAACGCCTCCCTCTTCAGGAAGTCGCCCCTGCTGAAATTCCAGAACAACTCTATCCCTCCATGTGACAGCACATGCAGGAAACGCCGAGGTAAGTCTTCCTCGTGCTCCTGTATTCTGGCTCACCCACTCCTGAGACGTGCGATCGTGGCCTCCCGAAATAATTGCAGCCGCCCTTTGCCGCAACAACTTATGAAGTCCGTCCATCGCCTGCAACTAGCTGCCGAAAACGCCGACGCCAGCGACGCAACTGCATTTCACCATGCAGCTATATGGCACGACAGACGTACGTCGTCGTACGTCCCGCCATTTTCGCCCATTCGGCGCTCCAGACGACCATCACCCAGCCGCCCGAGGATTCCCGCGCGCTTATCTTCTCCTGTCGACTCCTCGCAATTTTCTGAAACCAATCAGAAAACGCTGTTAGAACCTTCCAAAAATCACGAAACACTAGCAAACATACCTGAAAATCCGGCAAAAACGTCTCCATCTCTCGACGGAAAATAATTCCGCCTATGCCGGAGAAGGGAGGACCAGCTAGTCCTAGCCGTCCATCGGACAGGATCTGGCGGCATCGGAAGCGCTACGCCACCAGTATCCTTCCGCCCCTTCCCCGATAGGGACTGCTCCCATATCGGAACCTAGATGGGCAGAATCGTGGCTCTGATACCAGCTGTTATGAAATATACTTAGAGTATAGCGAAGAATACTATAGGGGAGTGTGACTACCGAATTTCTCTAACAATGAAAGACCTAGGGCTTATATAATGCGAGTTGACCAGGTTGAACTTGGAGGGTTGGACCACTCAAGGGCTCGATAGTCCCGAGGACGACAGGGTCAAATTGGGTTCAGGGCGCCTCGGTAACAGGTTCGGGGCCGATTAGGTCAGCGAGGGTGGTTTGACGCGAGACTTCATGGCCGAGGCTGCAGACGCGAACTGTTTGTGGTACTCGCTGTGGCGAAACCCATTAAGGATTCGTGAAATCCTTACAAATTTCATATCCCAAATTACAGATGTGCTATCAAAATTTTGGGACGTGGAACCTACGGCTGATTTCGAGGATAATGCTTGGTAATCCTTCAGGTGTACAAACGGGTTACCCTAATGTTACAGACGTCTAGATGTGAGCAGGTTCCAGAACGGAATCCCCGCCACTGTTGGCCAACCTCTGCCGTTTGATCTTCCGAAACGACCACCAAGCTGTCAAGATTGCAGTACGTTCCTGTCGAGATAGGGTTTAGCTAGGAACAAGGTTAGGGAGTAGAAAGAGTGTTGACTTGAGAAGAGAGAGAGGTACAAGAGCAGAGCTGTCCCCTCTATAGTAAGAACCAGTACGAATAGTACACATACCTAGCCTACACACATATATATGTATATATACAGTGGCAGAAACAACTGTCCGTATGTTTTGCATTAATTAGGACTTTTCAGCTTTAAGAACACTATACATTAAGCCTTAATGTTTAATGGTGGTACGATTTGGGAGTGGCACATAGTGGATGTGTTAACAGAACAAAAATCCAGAATAGTACATTGGATCTAACTGATATCCCAGAACATAAACAAAGGGTACATCCGGACAAATAGTTCCAAGCAGAGAGGGCAAACTTCTGAACTGCGTTTTCGGTACATAACCTGTTGGTGCAACCCTATGGATTGCACTCGGCTTGTCGTCCTTGTTTGTGTGTGTGCATGCATGGCATGGAATGAATTGTGAGTCTATGTCATTGCTATCCAGTGCTTGTGTGTGTGTTTGAATGGTGTATCACAATGTGGTTTGTGTCGGTCAAGACATTAGCGAGTTTCTACAACTCGCATGTCAAGTCGTCGTTTGTGTGTCGCATGTGTTTTTCTATTTTGTCGAGTGTGAAGTGTCCATCGTGTCGCAGGTGTGTGCAGCAAGCCCCCATCAACTCAAGAAGAATTTATCTTGCAGATCCAAGAACAAGAGCTCAAGATTTCAAGCCCAAGGGACGCGGATAAATATTAAATAGTGAAAATAGTAACGCTACTTCGTGTAGTGTTACATTTCACTTGGTGTAGCCCCTTGGAGGGTTGGTTTCGAGACTCTTCATGGTTGGGGACTCTGTGGTGGTGTACCACCAACCTGGACCTCGGCTCTGGGGGTATGTAGAGGCTGGGAACCATCTCCCTCTCGAACTCTTCTTGCTAAGTTTGTACTCCTAAGACTATAGTGGCTGCTATACCTCCTGCCAGTCAAACCGCCATAGCGTCGTCAAATCTTCATGGAATTTCATGATTCAACTTGCTGCTCATAGACGACAGCAACGCGCTCCATATCCAACTTACAGATCACCGTTTAATTCAGTGACCAGATCGTAATCAATATTTGAAGCTGTCTGACGGAAATCCGACTGTGCTCTCTATCTCTCATTATAGGCACATCTAAGCCTATTGTGATTATAACAAGTGGTATCAGAGCCCTTGGAGCCTTCTCGACCATGCCTAGACCTGAGGAAGGGGGTGGAAGAGGTGCTGGAGGCAGAGAAGACGCCCAAGCACAAGGTCAACACCAAGATCCACCCATTGCTCCGGTGCAACCTAGCCTTGGACCCTCTAGGGATGAGCCTAGAGTGTTTGGCCTTGACAAGTTCAACGGTGACAACTTTGCTGAGTGGTCCTTCAAGATGGAGAACATCTTTGACCACTATGATCTGCTGGAGGTGATGGAAGGAACGGAGAAGCGCCCCGAGAACGACCCGGAGAAGAGCCCGTGGGTGCGGAAGAGCGCACAAGGCTACCTTCTACTTGGGCAAGCGTTGGGGAGCAGCCAAATCCGTCACATCAAGCCTTTTCAGCGTGAACCAGCAAAGGGACCAAAGGCATGGGCTGCTCTCAAGGGTGTACACGCTCCTGCAACAGCGGCGGTGGCTGTGGTTTTGGAGCGGCAAATGGCGGCACTTCGAATTGACGAAGGCGAACCGGTGGAGGAAGGAGTGCAGAAATTCTTCGACTTGTTGACACGGCTCGAAGGAGCTGACCTGAACTACAGTGACCTTCAAAGAAGACCAAGCTGCTGGCCTTACTTCCGGACTCATGGTCCTCGCTCATCATCAACCTTAATCGAGATCTGCCCCGTCTCTCACTCGAAGATGTGAAGCGGGAAATCTTACAAGAAGATTTCCGCCGTCGCGAATTGGCGGGTCCCGATGGTGCCGGAGTTGCAAGCATGGGCCGTGGGCACGGCCGTGGAAGGGGCAGAGGGCGAGGAGGAAGATTTGGCAGGAGTAACTTCAATGGAGGCCGTGGTAATGGAGTATATGGCAGCAACAACAACAACAATGGCTACGGGCGTGGGCGCGGTCGATTTGATGGCGAATGCCACTTTTGCCACAAGACCGGCCACATGTGGAGAGATTGCTACAGATTGCCTGATGGATGGACCCCTTCTCAAGGCCAAGAGGGCAGAGGAGCAAGGGGAGGAAGAGGCAGAGGTCGTGGAGGCCGTGGTGGTCGTGGAAGCGAAGCGGCAAGCATGAAAGGTGGAGACTACGACAAGGACTCGAGTGAAGATCGATACCCGGGCCAATTCTTCTTTGTCTCCACGCAAGCGGCAGCTGCAGCAGGAGGTGTGGAAGGCTTTGACGAGCCAGCAACTGTGGGAAAGGTCACCCTTCACTCTCTGGACTTTTGGGTGATCGATAGCGGCGCCACCTACAGCATGACACCTCGTGCAGACTTGCTCACCGAACTCGAACCGTCGCCGGTCAAGCATGTTACATCGGCTTTGGGGCAGCGAGCAGAGGTGAAAGGCATGGGCAAGGCCATGTTCAAGGGTGCTGATGGGAAGATGGTGGGCCTCAAGAACGTGCTTTGGGTGCCCAACCTTGCAGCCAACCTGATTTCCGTTCGGCGTTTGCAAAAGGCCGGCATGGACACATCTTCCAAGGGCTCCAAAACATATACCGCGAGGCTTGGTGAGCGGAAGCTTTGGGACCTTCATGAGGACAGGGACATCTACAATGAGATGTGGCAAATCCCAGTGGTCCCCATGCCTAAGGGGAGGCAAGTGGCAGCAAGCGTCAGCACCAAGAGTGAAGCGGTTGGTGGCGGTGATCACGGAAAACAAAGTGACACCAAGAGTGACTCGAAGGAGTGCAACCTTGGAGAGACCAGCAAGGCGTGTGAACCCAAGGAGAGTGGTGCAGCAGCCAAAGGTGGTGGAAATGAGGAGGAGAAGCCTAAGATCAGCAAAGCAGCAGCGGCGAAGGAGAAAGGAGAGAGCTTGTGGGGCACGATTGCGAGTGCCGTTTTCTCCAACCCGACTTCCGCTACGGGAGAGTGTGATTGGCTGACCTTGCATCGGCGAATGGGGCATGTGGCATTGCCCATTTTGCAGCAGATTGTTAAGCAAGAGATGGTCAGTGGGATACGTGTCAAGGGGGAGCCCAATGAGGTGCTTGGCTGTCCAACATGCATGCAAGCCAAGTTCACCCGCTACCCGTTCCATAGCTCGGAGACAACGGCGAAGGCACCACTTGATGAGGTGGTGATGGATGTGGTGGGCCCCTTGAAGCTTGGAGCTGCTGGAGCTGAGTACTTCCTCACCATTGTGGACGTCTACACTCGCATGACCTGGGTGTATGTGCTGCCCAAGAAGAGTGACGTAGCTGAAACGGTGAAGACCGATTGATTGCCGATGGTGGAGCGGCAACAAGACCGACTTGTGAAGGCGATTCGCACTGACCGTGGGGGAGAGTTCCTGAGCAAGGATTTCTCAACTTGGCTGAAGAAGCAGGGCATAAGGCACTCTCTTACCATGCCCTACTCTCCTACAATGAACGGCATCGCCGAGCGTGCGAATCGGACACTCACGGAGACGGCTCGGGGACTTCTCATTGAAGCCGGTCTTCCCAATTACTTTTGGCCGGATGCGGTGCGGCATGCTTGTGTGGCCAAGAACAGAGCCTTGACTCATGTGGGAGAAGACAAATGGGTGCCCTATGTGGAGTGGATTGGAAGGAAGCCGAAGGTGGATATGCTTCGGGTGTTCGGGTGCATGTGCATGGCACTTGTGCCTAAGAAACTTCGGCACAACAAGCTTGATGCCAAGGCAACATGGGCCGTGCACCTGGGCATGGCTCAAAACAGCAAGGGATGGCTTCTTTGGGACCCATTTACCAAGAAGTTCCTGGTGAGCAGAGATTGCAAGTTCATGGAGAACTTACCGTACAAGGAGTGGAAGGCGGAGAACCAAGCGAAGATTGGTGTGCGGCTTGGAGAGGTGAAGAGGACCGGCTTGGAGCATGTGGAGCTGCCCTTGGAGCTGAGTAGCAGCAGCACTATCACAAGGCAATCTCCTCAAATGAATGGGGGAGAAGAGGAGGAGGAGGTGCAGCAAGGTGATGAGCGTGCACCGCCACTTCCGCCTCGTGCTACAAGTGCTCGTGGGAACCGACCAGATTTACCGCAACGCCATGAGAGCATTCAAGTCCCTGCAGCAGAGGAGGAAGGAAGGGGGAGAAGGAGGACTCAGCCCCCTAATAGGTTGAGCTATGACCGGCTTGGAGGACCAGCCAACTCAACCTTGACCGGTTCGGCTCTCATGCTAGGCGATGATGCGGAAGATGAAAGCGAGGAGTGCGCCTTTGCCTTCTTCTCTCCGGTGGAGATGCCGGGGGAGCCTACAAATCCCAAGGAGGCTTGGGAGGGCCCCAATGGGAAGGAGTGGAAGAAGGCCTCAGATGAAGAAATGGGGAGCATCATCGAGAACGACACGTTTGACTTGGTGAACCTACCTCCGGGGCGTAAGGCGATCTCTTCCAAGTGGCTCTTCAAGCGCAAGACCGACGCCGACGGCAACATCGAGCGCTACAAGAGCAGACTTGTAGCCAAGGGGTATCAACAGCAAGAGAAGAAGGACTACAATGAAGTGTATGCCCCTGTGGTGAAGGGTACAACCCTTCGAACCCTCTTCGCCGCGGCGGCCATCAAAGGATGGGTGGTGAAGCAAATGGATATAGTAACGGCCTTCCTCAACGGCGTTTTGGAGGAAGAGACCTACATGGAGCAGCCAGAGGGGTACAATGATGGGAGTGGCAGAGTGTGGAAGCTGAAGAAAGCACTCTATGGCCTCAAGCAAGCCCCTAGGCAATGGTACATCAAGCTGCGAGATGTCACAGGCTCGAATGTCCCGAGGAAAGGTTTGCTCAATGTTCCACTATCAATCAGTACAAGGTGCTTTTATACTTCCAGAATACATCAGGTAACCAGGTTTATCCTATCCAAAGGAAATAGACCCTTCTAGAAATAGAATCACCATGCGTATAGCCACGCAAGGCTATTGGCTTTAAGGGATTACGGCAGGATTACGCTAGATATAGCGCGCCAGTACATCCCGAGCTTGGTCGGTGATATAATTATAATAAGAGGATAAACCAAAGGATAATGGAAAAGGAGGAATAGGAAACCAAATGAGATGAGATAAAGACCAAATGAATCAGGAGTGAAAGAGGAATAAAATAGAAAGGAAATATGGAAAGGGGAAAATAATGTAACGGGGTCGTACTCTCACACTTCCCCCCCTCAAAGCTGGGTGGTAGAAGTAACACCCTGCTTGACAAGGTAGTTGCGAAGAGGACGACGGGCGTTACCCATGTCGAGTTCAGAGACGCAGCGTCAGAAGGATCAAAATCCTTCCAGCAAAGAAGAAGCTCCAGAGTGCCATTCTGATGACGACGATGTCCGAGCACGTAGTTGTCCCATGGCGTGGATGAACACGGGCGGCGACGTTGGTTGGCATTCGGTGTAGAGCATGTTTGGTCTTGATAGGGTTTAAGAAGCTGGTATGGAAGGCGTTATGGATCTTCCAAGTGGCTGGTAGGCGGAAGCGGAAGTTGACTGAAGTGACCTTTGCTTCAACGATGATAGACCCGCAGAAGCAAGGTTGAAGCTTGGGTGGAAGATGGCTGATGTCGAAATTATGGTGTCGATAACTGTTGTGATGAGTAGCCAGGTGCTTCTGCTGCTGTTGGATGTCCAAGAGGTGCTTGTGTGGTCGATGTACACGATGGTGGACGATGACGATGAAATCGGAAGCAAGTTGGACTGTAGCAAGAACTGTCTGTTGCTACGGAGTGAGCAGGCTCCGTCCATAGCAAGGAAGGATGGTGTGTATCGCCCGTCAGTGATATATGGGGAGGTGCAAGTTGTAGTATGAGTGGTTGGAACAGTGTGCTGTAACGTGCAGATGAATGGCTATGTTGTCTGTTCTGTGCATGCCTGAAGATCACTTGCATCTCGTCCATGCCTGAAGATCACCAAGTGTTGGTGGTATGGCAGTCGTATCATAGTACTGCTTCTGTCGCAGCGTTGTATCCGTTACATGCAGCTTCTTTGGAATGCTGGTCCATGCCTTGGTGTTCTCGCGAGTCGTACCCTCTCGGCATCGTAGTGTTGTGGAATGGAGAGCAGAATCACTAGTAGTAACCCTGTCCACCACGCGGTCTGCTAGTCACACTGCCTTGAGTACAACAGCGCATGCGAAGTGCTGCTCAGCGTATCCCTTGTGTTCAGAACCATGCGAGGGGTTGGTACCACAAACGCGGAGCTGGTAACTTCCAGAATCGGCGCCAAAGTAGTTTCCCTCGGTGGTTGCTCAAGCAAGGAATCTCTGATGCATAGATATCCCACGGTGATGGGTTAGGACATCTGGGAATGTTATGGGTATTCCCAAGTAATCCTTTCCCATTTCCAAATGGGCATTGCTGACAGCCAATCAAGTATGACCTTATGCACGTCCAGTTTAGCACGGAGGATATCGGGAGGCATCGGTGTTTGGGCGCACATATTGGGATAGGTCTTCTGGTGTCTTCATGTGTTGTCTTATTCTGTCACTGTCCTTGAAGTAGCATTGATGTCGAAGACGTCTCAACTACTCAGCATCAGTGTTGGAGTCTGCTCCATTTCGGCAAACAGGGGTGTTGTTAAAGATACGCGGAGTCCACTATCCGGAGTGGCGTCGGCGCTCCATTCCACGCCTATCTGCTTCCGTGGAGTTGGTGCTGGTGATGGATTGGTTGCGACGCAGGTTTTATGACTTTAAGGAAAGCCATAGGCCATGAGGACTTGTATACCGGTAGAGTACCGTAGTCCTCCAATCCTCATAAGAGCAAATATCTCCTGCTCTTGAGGGTATATGGCATTGCCATAGCTATTCCAGTGCGTAGTGGTATCTCCTTCCCACTAGCTGGAAACAATAGTATTGTGCCTGACCGGGTCTTTACAATCCACTGGAATATAATCCAGCATTATCTCCATTGAGCGGAGAATCATCCATCAGGGTTTGGATATGAATGTTCAGTCGAGTCTTCTGCTGCGGCGGCGGCGGCGGTTGCGACGACGGCGACGGCGGCAACTGCTGCAGAGAATTCTCTCAACTCGTACCGGTTGAAGGAGAATCCATCAGCTCCCCCTTCCAGTAGAGTGTTCCTGATGGGTGTAACAGGAGTAACTACCAGGAACACGTGCACATTAGTACACATGTGTTGCTCCATTGCTGCCGGTGATTGTTTTATTTGAGGGTGTGAAGAGAAATTTGCTTCTCCCCTCAATGTATCCACAGGTAGCAATTCCTGGTATGCTCATCCGTGCCTCCGATGTACGGTCGGTAGAGCGCGTGATCGTGTTGTAGTAGTCCGCATCTCCCTCATTTGTTGACACCTCGTGTTGCTTGACGTTCTCCTGCATCGTCGAAGTTACGCTGATGCTTGTAACGCTTCGGCTTCTGGTAGAATCGCCTCCAATGCATGTGCCGTAGGGTCGCTAGTGAACGAGTACTTGCCGGATTAGAGGTTAATTACTCCTCAATCTGTCAAGCATCGTGACGTGCACGGAATTTTCTTCCACGCAGGTCATTAACACCTGGAATCGCGACGCATGATTGGTGTGTCGCCTCGTGAGGTCGATGTTGAGACTGCTCCAACCAATCACTTCGGATGGCTGAGATTCTTGATGAAGACGAATCGTTCAGCTCCTGTTACGAAGTAGTGTCTCGCTGGCCTTGACGAGACGGGTTCACTGCGTCGTCGTTGCGTGCGAAATCTGCTCCTTCGCAGCAACTTGAACTTGGGAGCATTGCAAGAGAAAACGGTTACTTCTCTGCAATCCCATAGGTTGTCGATCAATTTGTATGAAGAAGTGTCTCGTGGATGGAGAACATGTCTTCACGCAGCTCCATTGTTTTTCCTGGGTGAAGATCTCGTCGTGTTGATGTTGATCCATTTTTAACGAAGATAACTTCGTCAAAATAAATCGATCGTTGTCGACACTTGTCAGAAGATTCGTCGATTGTGCAGTCGCTGGTCACGAATATTGTCTCCATCGTGATGTTTTCCCATAGTGTAGTCTCTGCTGCATTCGTGGCGTTGATTCCGCACCAATCCGACGATCCACGTTCTCCTGTCATTTTTCTGCTTGCAGCTATTACCAAGTAGGTAATATTCTGGCAGATTTCTGACTCCGCAGATGATTTATGCGCCAAATTCGTCACCAAATGAAGGAATTCGAATTTGGTTGTCCAGATGTTGTCGGCGGTGTCGAAAGCGGCTCATTTCTGGTTCTGTGCGTCAATCTCCCTTTTAGCAGTAGTCGCGCTCCATCTCGTCCGTTGAAGTAGAAGTCGATCCGACGATCCAAACTCCAAGCGATCTGATGATACTCCTGAGTCGCGTTCAGCAGCTTTCGGTGCACGGGTCGACTCGTTTCCTGCAGCAATTTTCGGTCGTCGATGTCGGCTGTCGATCGATCCAACGCTCCGAAGAATTTTGCAGCTTGCGAGGTCCCGTTCCCATTCGCGCTGAAACTCGAACTCGCTCAGCAGTATTTCGTTTTCGCCTCGGTCGATCTGAAGCGTCGAATCTCCATCGGACGGATGTCGTCGGTCGAACCTCCGCAGAGTTCCGCGCAACTCCAAGTGTCGTGGCGCACTGCGAACTTCTCCGAATGTCGCAGGGCGTGTTCCGCCGGAACTGACGCGCTCGCCAGGTCGAGGCCGTTTGCCCCCGCGAAAAATCGGCACCGTCGATGCAGTCCATCGAACGGTTGGCGAGGCATCTCGCCTTCGAAGGGGACCCCAGGTGCAGCTGCGAAAGGTAAGTCGAAACTTAAATGAAAGTGCATTGTACTTACAGGAATTGAAGTTTCGACTCCATCCTCCGCGTGCTCCTGGGGGCCCAGCGGTTAAGCGTTGAGCTGAAACCTTGGCTCTGATAACCAAGTGTCACAGGCTCGAATGTCCCGAGGAAAGGTTTGCTCAATGTTCCACTATCAATCAGTACAAGGTGCTTTTATACTTCCAGAATACATCAGGTAACTAGGTTTATCCTATCCAAAGGAAATAGACCCTTCTAGAAATAGAATCACCATGCGTATAGCCACGCAAGGCTATTGGCTTTAAGGGATTACGGCAGGGTTACGCTAGATATAGCGCGCCAGTACATCCCGAGCTTGGTCGGTGATATAATTATAATAAGAGGATAAACCAAAGGATAATGGAAAAGGAGGAATAGGAAACCAAATGAGATGAGATAAAGACCAAATGAATCAGGAGTGAAAGAGGAATAAAATAGAAAGGAAATATGGAAAGGGGAAAATAATGTAACGGGGTCGTACTCTCACACGAGAAGTCTTGGAGGCGATCGGCTTCACTCCCTCAACGGCCGATCAATCGTTGTTCATGCTTGGCGAGGGGGAGCAGAGGAGCTTCATGGTGGTTTATGTGGATGACATCCTCATATTCTCACCCTCCTCTGACCTTGTAAAGGAGGTGATGCTGAAGCTTCAAGACAAGTTCAAGTGCAAGACCCTTGGTGACGTCAACTACTACCTTGGGCTTCACATTGAGCAAGATGTGGAGAAGCGGTGGATGCGAGTGCATCAAAAGAAGTACTTGGAGGCCTTGGCTGCAAACTTTGGGAAGAGTGAAGGTCATGTGGCTACTCCTCTTCCCTCAGGGTTCAAGTGTGTGAAAGGACCAGCGGAGGAAAGTGTTGGTGAAGAGGAGAGGCGCCGTTTTCACTCCTTGGTGGGCAGCCTCATGTATGCGGCCGTTCACACAAGGCCGGATGCAGCCTTTGCTACCGGGCAGCTGGCTAGGGTTGTCCAATGCCCTAATGAAGAGCAGGTAGCAGCTGGAGAGAGAGTGGCCAAGTACCTTGGCCAAACAGCAACTGTTGGACTGCAATACTCCGCGGCGGCACAAAGGCGTCAAAAGGGGGCGGATGGAGTCGAACCCGGGAGGCTCTTTCTCACCGCCTTCTCTGATGCATCTTGGGCATCAGAACCAGAGGACATGACAAGTGTGGGAGGCTTCATCTGCTGTGTTGGTGGAGGCCCAACAGCTTGGGAGAGCAAGAAGCAAGTGGACCAAGCATTGAGCTCGGTGGAGTCCGAGTACATGGCACTCTTCCGTGCCATAAGAGAGGTTGTGTGGCAGCGGCGTTTGCTAGCTGAATTGGGGGAGGAGCAGCAAGGACCTACCCCACTCTACTGTGATAGCCAAGGTGCTATTGCATTGGCTAAGAACCCCGTTCTTCATGGCCTTACCAAGCACATGAAGGTGAAGTGGCATTGGGTGAGGAGCATGGTAACCGCGGGTGAAGTGGAGTTGCACTACGTGAAGACGACGGCGCAGCCAGCTGATATGATGACCAAGAGGCTGGTTGAGCAGCAGCATTGGAAGTGTTGCAAGCTTGCTGGGATGGCTCTGAACTAAGGGGAGCAGATTCTAAGGCCAACAATCCGAGGGGGAGTTTGTTGGTGCAACCCTATGGATTGCACTCGGCTTGTCGTCCTTGTTTGTGTGTGTGCATGCATGGCATGGAATGAATTGTGAGTCTATGTCATTGCTATCCAGTGCTTGTGTGTGTGTTTGAATGGTGTATCACAATGTGGTTTGTGTCGGTCAAGACATTAGCGAGTTTCTACAACTCGCATGTCAAGTCGTCGTTTGTGTGTCGCATGTGTTTTTCTATTTTGTCGAGTGTGAAGTGTCCATCGTGTCGCAGGTGTGTGCAGCAAGCCCCCATAAACTCAAGAAGAATTTATCCTGCAGATCCAAGAACAAGAGCTCAAGATTTCAAGCCCAAGGGACGCGGATAAATATTAAATAGTGAAAATAGTAACGCTACTTCGTGTAGTGTTACATTTCACTTGGTGTAGCCCCTTGGAGGGTTGGTTTCGAGACTCTTCATGGTTGGGGGCTATGTGGTGGTGTACCACCAACCTGGACCTCGGCTCTGGGGGTATGTAGAGGCTGGGAACCATCTCCCTCTCGAACTCTTCTTGCTAAGTTTGTACTCCTAAGACTATAGTGGCTGCTATACCTTCTGCCAGTCAAACCGCCATAGCGTCCTCAAATCTTCATGGAATTTCATGATTCAACTTGCTGCTCATAGAAGACAGCAACGCGCTCCAGATCCAACTTACAGATCATCGTTTGATTCAGTGACCAGATCGTAATCAATATTTGAAGCCGTCTGACGGAAATCCGACTGTGCTCTCTATCTCTCATTATAGGCACATCTAAGCCTATTGTGAATATAACATAACCCACCGACCTTTGGCCTTGATCACTGCCTGCACCCTCCTAGGCATGTTACCTATGAAGTTATTGCAAACCTCGGCAGGGAACTTCTTACACTCTTCCTAGACCCACCATTTCGCATAAGGGGGTGAGCACTAAGAAATCGCGAAAACGTTGGGCGTATGCAAGAGTATTGTGGACGGTTTTGGATTGAATGGTATCTCTGAGACTAGCCATGCTGAGGTGTGGCCAAAGATGCAATTAGGCGGGAGGCGCCAATTATCACGAATCGTCTTCGTCGTACTATAATAGGGTAAAATCACGAATAGAGCAGCCAAATATACAGTGACGGAAACAATTGTCAGGATGTTTTGCATTAATTAAGGTTTTTGAGGTTTCCAGCCAGTGTACATAAAGTCTTAATATTTAATGGTGGTACACTTTGGGAGGGGCACATAGTGAATGCGTTCACAGTGCTAAATTCCATAATAGTACACTGGATCTAACTTAGTGCCACAATATGTACAAAGAGTACACCCGGACAATTATTTCCCAGGACAAAGAGCAAACTTCCGAGCTGCGTTTCTAGTACCTAGTCCACCAACACTTGGCCTTGATAACCACCTGCACCCTCCTAGGCATGTTATCTACGAGGTTAGTGCAAAACCTTACATGGATCTTCTCGCACTCTTCCTGGACCCACCCTTTTGCATAAGGGGGTGCGCACTAGGAAAATCGCGAAGTATTTGAACTTATGCAAGAGTATTGTGCACGATTGCAGATTGAATGTTTCTCTGAGACTAGCCACGCTGAGGTGTGCCCAAAGATGTCATAAGTCGATTAGTCCCATCTTATCATGAATCGTCTTCGTCGTACCGTTGTATGGTAAAATTACGAGCAGAGTGGCGAAAACTAGCGTGTCCACCGCGAAACATAGGGTAATATAGCACGGTCGACTGTGCACCCATTCACTAATAGAATCACGTTAAAATGCACGGGTCTCGTCACGGTGCAGCAGTCGAAGAAGCTCCGATTGGTGGGGAAGAATATTCGGGTTCAGGTCTGGTGAGGAAGAGGGTCACTCCAATGCTACAAACTCATGCTCTCCAAGCCATTCCAAGCCTAGGCGGGACACATGGCTTAAAATGGATTGGAGAGCATGAGTATGTAACGCTGGAGTGACCCTTTTCCTCACCAGATCTCTACCTGGATATTCTTTCTAAACAGTCACGACTTCTTCGACTGCTGCACCGTGACGAGACCTATGGATCCTAGCACGATTCTGATAGTGCAAGGTTGCACAGCCGACCGTGCTATGTTACCCTAAGTTTCGCGGTAGATACACTAGTTTTCGCCACTCTGCTCGTAATTTTACCATACAACGACGAAGACGATCCATGATAAGACAGGACAAATCGACTTATGGCATCTTTGGCCACACCTCAGTGTGGCTAGTCTTAGAGATAACATTCAATCTGGAATTGTGCACAATACTCTTGCATACGCTCAAATCCTTAGCAATTTTCCTAGTGCTCACCCCCTTATGCAAAAGCGTGGGTCCAGGAAGAGTGCGAGGAGATCGCTGTAAAGGTTTGCACTAACCTCGTAGACAACATGCCTAGGAGGGTGCGGGTGGTGATCAAGGCGAAGTGTTGGTTGACTAGGTACTAGAAACGCTGCTCGGAAGTTTGCTACTTGTCCTGGGAAACAATTATCCGGATGTACTCTTTACATATCTTTTGGCACCAAGTTAGATCCAGTGTACTATAATGGATTTTAGTGTTGTGAACGCATCCACTATGTGCCCCTCCCTAAGCGTACCACTATTAAACATCAAGACTTTATGTACAGTGGTCGGAAAGCCCAAAAACCCTAAATAATGCAAAACATCTGGACAATTGTTTCCATCACTGTAGCGTAGACACCGCGAAATTGAGGGTAACGTTGCACGGTTGAGTGTGCATCCTTGCACCATTAAAAGCACAATAGGGTCTGCAAGTCTAGTCACGGTGCAGCACTCGTAGAAGCCATGACTGTTTTAGAAAAATATCAGGTTCCGGCTGCAATTCATGGAGTCGCATGTTGGGTGGACAAATAGTGTTCGAAAGCATGTAATCTGGTCAATGGGACAAACATCAACTGCTTCAGCTCCAATGGCCACGCATTTGCCTGGATTCGTGAAGGCACAACCCTGCAGCACCACAAATCAAACAGACGGTAAATCACGGGGACAAGGATCAGTGATGGTGTGGGGATGTGCGACATGTATGGGGGTGGGGTTCATATGCAAGATTGACGGGCGCATGAACTGGCCCCTGTATGAGGGCGTTTTGCATGATGAACTCGATTTGACCCTCCATTTCTATAGCATTTTCCTCTCTAAGGTCATTTTGGTGCAAACAATGACCCCCAAAATTTGTCATGCCTAGAGCAGGAATGACTTGGAGAACATGAATATGTAGCCTTGGAGTGGCCTTCCTTCTCATCAAACCTCAACCATTGGGCTTACCTGAAAAGGGAGTTGGCCAATCATAAAAGGTCTTCCTCGGCAATGCTGGAGCTTTGGGACCTGGTCCAGGAAGAATGGGAGAAGATCCATGTCGAGGTTTGCTCTAGCCTCATCAACAGCATGCCTTGGCAGGTGCGGGCAGTGATCAAGGCCAAAGGTGGTGGGCTAGGAACTGGAAACGCACTTTTGAAGTTTGCTCGTTCCGCTTGGAACTATTTGTTCGGATGTACCATTTGTATGTCTTTTGGAATATGAGTTAGATCGATCCAATGTACTATTCTAGTTATTTGTCCGTGAACACATCCACTATGCGCCCCTCCAAAATCGTACCATCATTAAACATTAAGGCATAATGTATAGTGGTCTTAATGCCTAAAAACCTAAAATAATGCAAAACCACACGGACAATTGTTTCCGCCACTGTATGTTGACACACCCTCGAGGCTTGGTAGGCTCTACTGACAGAAGGAAGAGGACCAGGGCAGCACTACTACTGTGTCTACTAGTATGAGTAGTAAGAAAATGTGAGACAACCACACACCCAGCACCTATAAAACCCAGCACCCCCAAGGACCTAGCACCCCCATACCCAGCAGCAGCGGTGGCATTCTACAGCCAGTTTGACCCCTCGGCGAACGAGGCGGCGACATCGGCAGCGGCGGCGGCGGCAGCAGCGGCGGTGGTGGCGGCAGCCACGACGGCGACGGCGTGGCACGTCTCTGCGATGATGGGGAAGGACGGCTTGAGACAGCCATCAGCTGCAATGGGGAGGGGCGGGGGGGGGGAAGGGCGGGTCTTCGGCGGCTGGTGCAGATAGCGGACCAGGGGGCGGCTAGAGCGTGCTGGGGTGCTGGCTGGCGCATTGGCTGGCATGCTCTGCTGGCGCTCAGCCAGCGCGACAAGGCTGCGCCAAGGTGGCGCGACTAGGCCGCCATAGCAGCGCGTCCAGGCCGCCACAACAGCGCGACGAGGCCCGCCATGGCGGGTGACGAGGCTGCAACGGCAGCACGATGGCCGCCATGGCAGCACGACGAGGCCGCCAGGGGGAGCACGACAGGGCGCGCTATGACGACGCGACAGGGCGCGCTATGACGGCGCAACGGTGGGAGAAGAGGGGAGAGTGAGATGCGGAAGCGTGGGGAGCAGGTCTAGTAGGATGGATTTGCTCTGAAACCATGTTCAGATAGGGTTTAGCTAGGGAGAAGGTTAGCGAGGAGAGTGTCCCTGGGTGTTGACTGGAGAAGAGAGAGAGGTACAAGAGCAGAGAGAGAGGTCCCCTCTACATTTCGAACCAGTACGAGTAGTTCATCTACCTAGCCTACATATATATATATATATATATATATATGTATACGTACATACACAGATACATATATATATAGATATACATGTGTTGACAGTTCCAATGGTTAAACAATCTGCGCTATGCAAAAGAAAATATATCTGCAAATTTGTGCGCATGAAAGCAACCAAACCGTGCCAACTGCCCACATGCCGCCCAGGCAGGTTCCCAAACATCGCATCGCCTTGACGAAGTGGGGAATATATACAGACGCAAAGGGCAGAAAGAAACGGGCCAGGGAGAAAGCTGCGAAAATAGCGAAAGAATAAGTTGACTAGGAAGTGGGGAGAGGAGATACAAGTAGATTGTTATCCTTTCTAAGAGCTGATATATTGCTAGGCTATATATAATACTCATATCCACTCTAACTACATATATATAGCAATGTATGTTTGTTGACACACCCCTAACCTAGATAGAGGCAGCGTTTACGAACCACAGCAGCACTTCTAGTCTGACCTCTGGTA